TAGGGTGAAGCTAAGTGTGCACTTCTGCTTATTCATGTCCCCAACTTAAAATGGATTGACTTACCATTTTTTGACTTTATGATGGTGCAAAAGCAATATGCATTCACTAGAAATCATACTTCGAATTTTGATCTTTTCCTGGGCTAGTGATATGTGGTACCATACTCTTCTTGTGATGGGCAATGACAGAGAGCCACGGCTCCCAGTCAGCCTCATGAGCATGAAAGTAAATAACCAATAAACTTATAACTGTTCTGTACCCATACAACCATTATTTTTAAATTTCAGTATTCAATAAATTACATGGGACATTCAACACTATTATAAAATAGGCTTTGTGTTTTTGCCCAACTGTAGGCTAACATAAGCATCCTGAGTACATTTAAGGTGGGCTAGGCTAAGCTATGATGTTTGGTAGGTTGAATGTATTAAATGCATTTTCGACTTATATTTTCAAGTTAGGATGGGTTTATTGGGACATATCCCCATCTAAAACCAAGGAAGATCTGTATTATTGTATACAAAAATGTGGATTATTTCAGTAACACTTATCTAAATGCTGATTTAGATTTCTCTGAAATAATTTGTCCTTTCTTTTTCCATGAAGTTTTTCTGTGAACTTCACTTATACCTAACAGGAAAGAATTGCTCATACTCCCTTGAATTTGTATAATCAAAAGCCTATTATTTCAGAATAGTTTTCAGGTTTTACTTGGCCCATATGAAATGCCCCCAGGTGATAGGTGCATCTCTGGTATTTTTATATTGTTTAATATTTTTATAAAACATTTTTATCTCTCTAATTGGAGTAAATATCATTGCATTTGAATAGTTTCATACACTAAAATCTGTGGAATGGAAAAAAACATTTAAAGATTTTATTTATTCATTTGACAGAGAGAGCTGGGGGAATGGCAGGCAGAGGGAGAGGGAGAACCAGGCTCCCCACAGAGCAGGGGGAGCCCGATGTGGGACTCGATCCCAGGACCCTGGGATCATGACCTGAGCCGAAGGCAGTCACTTAACCAACCGAGCCACCCAGGCGCCCCATTTTTGTTACTCTTTTGGTGTGAATGTTTTAGCTATGTGAGCATTTCAGAAAATTAAAAATAAGATTATTTAGGGTCCAACAGTTGACAGTCACTAAAGAGTTTTTTAAGATTTTGTTTATTTGAGAGCGAGCGAGCACAGAGGCGAGTGAAAGGGAGAAACAGACTCCCTGCTGAGCAAGGAGCCCGATGCGGGACTTCGTCCCAGGACCCCAGGATCATGACCTGAGCTGAAGGCAGACGCTTAACCGACTGAGCCACCCAGGCGCCCCTAGTCACTTAAGAATTAAAAGGAGTGGGATGCCTGGGTGGCTCAGACAGTTAAGTGTCTGACTCTTGGTATCAGCTCAGGTCTTGATCTCAGGGTGGTGAGTTCAAGCCCTATCTGAGGCTCCATGCTGGGCATGGGACCTACAGTAATAATCTGATGGAGAATTTTGATAGTTTATATGCTCATGAAAGTAGGTGCCTAAGTCATTTTATATGTATATATTCATATATAATGCCTATTTTATATATTTATATAAAACATACTTGTAATTATATAAATTGTAATTATATACATTTGCATATGGGTATATAATTTGAATATATAACTACACAATTCAATTAAATATATAGTATAATGCACATGATGTAAATATGTCAACATTTAAGTGTAATTCAACTATAAAATAGAAATGTTTATATATAATTTAAATACTGATGATTATGGTGGCTTCTAGACTTTCAAAATGTTGTCAGAATCTTTGTTGCTGTGTTGTCTCTCTTGTCCCTCTAACCCCAGTGGTAGAGAAATTTAGTCTAAAAGGCTCATCCTCCATTATGTCCTATTTCTTAACAACTCCAGAGAGACTTATCAATGGCTTTTGAACATGTATAGGACTTCTTCCATCATAAAAAAAGGTTTACCTGATTCTACTGCCCTTCTGTACTTCTGTTTTCCTAGTTCAGTGATTTCAGAGTTTTTGAAGACATATCCTGCTTTCTACTTTTTACCTATTTCCTTAATTTCTTACTTCTGTGCTACCTGAACTATATGCTTGAAGATCACCTGTAATTTTCTTACTAAACACAGGTGGCCTTGACTCATCCTTTGTTTATCTTGATCTCTGAAAGTATTTTTAATGGTTTTGACAGCCCCATCCTCCAAATTCTGCCTTCATTGACCTTTAAGACATTTTTTACTTCTCTGAGTTTCCTGATGCCTTGAGCAATATCCTAAATTCCACCCCTCCCTTCTTTTGTCTTCTTTGGCTTTTGTGATAATCAGGGTTTTCTCTCTTAATGCCTAGTGAGAACTTCTGGGGGGGGTGTGTGTCCCCTCTCCACTCCTGCGCTGCAATGCAACATGTCTAGATTTACTTCCAACCCAGAATGCATCTTCGCTTATTTCCTGTGCCTTATTGAAACTGCTTTATGATATGATTCAGGTGCTAACCATTCAACACCCAGTCCTTACTGATTTTCAGTGAATTTCCTTAAGACTTTAATAATCTTTTGCCTCTTTTGAGAGGCTGATATCTTCTCAAATAAATTACATACCTCTATGCAATAGTTACTTTGTCCCATACTATTCTTTGACACATCTTTTAATACACAGGCATTGTGTATGGTAAGGACTTTACAAATATTCCTTGTAAATAATAATTGAATTGTCTTTCCTTTTAGATTCTTCTTTAGAACTCTTCCTTCTCATCCACAATTTGGATAGCCAAATGTTGAGAGGAGACAAAAGTCAGCAAATTATTGGACAATTGTCATCTTTACGTAACATATATCTTATAGCATCTATCGATCACCTCAATGCTCCTCTCAGTAAGTATTACCATTTTTCTTTCTCAGGATACCAGTTTTTAAAAATGTCTTAATGTTGTAAATCGCAACATTTTTATTGTTTCTCAGTACACTTTTTTTGTTGCATGCATAAAGTCACAGATTGCTAAAAATAAAAGTGTCCTCAATCTGATTCAGAACATTTCTTAGAAATAAAAATTCATATTGTAAAGGGGGTGTTTTACACTTGAAGTTTCATGAAGGAGAATAAACCCAACTATTATTTTGGTCTCTTTCCACTCTTTGTGGTATTGCAACATTTATGTTATGCATTTAATTCCGAGACTTTGTGATAATCCCTATGCCTTGGTATCACTTATTTTAAATTGTATTTAATATACAAATAAAGATTCAAATGTTGATTGACAATTAGATTGTGAGGTACTGATATGGATGGGGAAATGGCAAAAATGAAAAATTTTCAGGATTCATTTTTTAACACTTTCTTTCCTAGAGTGGAATCTAGTAACACCACAATATGACTAATTAGTAACTCCTGTTTTCTTTAATCATATGCTATAGTGTGGGATCATGCAAAGCAGAGTCTTTATAACTGGCTCTGGTATGAAACTACTACATATAGTCCTTATACTGAAGAAACCTCCTATGAGAATTCTCTTCTGGTTAAACAATCTGGATCATTACCACTTAGTTCCCTAACTCATGTCTTACGAAGCCTTACCCCTAATGCAAGGTAAGAATGAAAACTATAGTTTCTTTTTTAAAAAACTCTACATTTTATGATATTCATGAGTAGCTTTTAATGGCAATTCTAAAGTCTCTACTTAGTTTGCAGGATTGAGAGAAAGAGTAAAAAAGAGTTGCCAGTACTGGGTTATGCAATAGCCAGACTCCTTAACAATAGTGTCAGCATTTTTTTTTTCCTTAATTTTTATATTTCTAAATAAGAGCATCTCAAGATAGTGGTCATTGTGGAGGAAAAATAATTTTGATGAATTTTACTTAAATCTGATGGTTATTTTTAATTATATATTGAACACTGTCATATAAACATGGGACCCTTTACATGAAATAACTCCTTTGATCCTCACAACCACTCTAAGGTAGATAGCAGAGGGCACAGAGATTTTGATCCAAATCTGCCTGGCTCCCAAGCTCTTGCTTTTAAACATCTCTGTGTAATCTCTCCAGTGAAGCCTTTCAGCAGCCTCACCAAGAGGCATATCTGAATTAATAAAAGCTAAGAAAAGCTGGATACAGCATAAACTGGCAAAACATAAAGGGCACAATAATTAACCTGTTGAAAAAGGCTTTGAGTAGCAGATTCCCCCTGCCAAAGCACAGAATTCTGGAACAATTTTTTTTTTTTTAAGATTTTATTTATTTATTTGACAGAGACACAGCGAGAGAGGGAACACAAGTAGGGGGAGCAGGAGAGGGAGAAGCAGGCTTCCCGCAGAGCAGGGAGCCCGATGTGGGGCTCCATCCCAGGACCCTGGGATCATGACCTGAGCCGAAGGCAGACGCTTAACGACTGAGCCACCCAGGCTCCCCTCTAGAACAATTTTAACAAGATGAAGTGTTTAACAACAACTAGCCCTGTTGAGAATAATTAAAATTTGAAAAAATGAAGAAAAATACTGTGTTCTTGGGTGAGTGGACTGAATATTATAAAGGTAGCAACTCCTCCCAAATTAGGATGTATTAGACCTATAAATTAATCCAAACAGATGATTTTTCTTGTGTTTTAAATTTGACACAAAATGCAGTTTCTTAAAGAAGGAGGTGAGACTAGCAAAGTCTTTTTCTCCCAAGAGCAATGGCACTTCTAGTTAAGATGGTACAATACTTTTCACACTTTAATGATGAATTTTGTTACTCTATAAAGCTGCTTTGTATACCTGAAGATTAGCATTGCATTAATATTGAAATGTGCATTAAATGACTAATCAAAGTTTCTATGGAATTGCAACCAAAAAAGTCTCATTCAGTCTTACTGTGCTTACTGTTAATGGACTAGTGCAAGTTGCTGTGTATAGCGTTGGGAATCTATGCAACATAAGTACTCTCAACATTAAAGATGACTCGCAGTGCTCTAAAGCAAGTAGTTTTTAGTTTGGCATACCCTAAATGTCTGTGTACTAGCCTCCACTGTTTTGTTTTTTTTTTTTTTTTACTGCAATTTTGTTTCATTCTGCAAACTCCAATATCATTTAGTCTCTATTTGGTATGAATGTGATCAAAAACTTTAACCAACCTTTAGCTGTGGAGTCACTGGCAGTATCTAGTTATAATGTGGCCATTCAGATGATCCAAATATGCTTATAGTGCTTATTTTCTAGATTATCTTAAAAATGTAAATGTAAAGGATTAAAGTTTTTGCCACATCAAAGGACTTCTGGAAATCTTAGTGTGGGTGAGATGCTTTCAGCCCTAATCCACTTTGTACACTTCTGTCAAAATTGATATGTAAGAATATTTATGTACAATTTTAACAATTAAAATTGGAAGTAATATAAACATCCAAAATGAGTAGGGCAATGGTAAGTTTGTGGTACATGATAGGTGGGCAGCCATTAAAAATTTAGGAAGACTTTTTAATGATACAGGAAAATAAGTGAAAGGTGAGATGTAAAATAGTGTATACTATATATAAATGCATGAATTTGTGTTTCCACCTTGCTTCATTGACAAAGATTTGCAAAGGCAGCACACAGATATTTCCACATCAAATGTTAGTGGCTGTTATTTTAGGGTTATGACATTAATATTTTCCTCTGTACATTTTATTATATATTCCACATTTTCTAACTTGAACAACCCTGTAGCCTTAAAAAAAACTCCTAGATTTTCCTTAAAAGGAAATTTTAAAAAGCTTCTCCTTTTTAAGTAGGCCAGGATAGGATGTTCCCTGGAGAAAGGAACAGAAGAAAATACATACGGTTTAAACCAAGTATTTCACATTATCTTTGTCTGTTTTACTGTTGTCTTTTGATGTTAACGTTCTGGATTTGAATTCCTGTTTTGTTTTTTTCCTTAGGGGGATTTTCAGGCTACTAATAAAGTATCAGCTGGATAACCAGGATAACCCTTCTTACATTGGTATTTATGATACTAAATCGTGTGTGACTTTTGTTTCCCCCCATAAATTCCTTTTTCTGGAATCTAGGAATAGCACTGCAGTGTTTCACAGGAGCAGATACATGGTTTGCTCCGGGATCAGTTTGTCTGCCACATGGCACATTTTCAAGAAGCCCCCCAGAGACACTGCTGAACAGGCCGTTTGCCAGTGCACGCCCAAAGACACATTTGGCCTGTTTTTACATTTCCTATGGTAACTGTGGATGTGTGTCTACCAATTACATATATTTCATATGCTGGGCATCTTAGCAGATTTTCTTCCCCTTAGGTAAAAATGTGTTAATTTAGACAAAGATTTTAATAATCGCACAGCTCTCTTGACTTACTAGTTCCTTCTTTAAAAGTCAACTTTATTCATGCTGTTTAAAGCTGTCCACAAGATTTGTTTTACTTGGTCACAGATGACTGCTTTCAGCCAGTCAGTTCCCTTTAAGATGTAAGCCACAGCGTATAATACTTAAGTGTTCTCTAGTTTTGCTTCTTCCAGAGGTACCTTTTTTTTTTTTTTATCAATACTGACTGACTGCTTTGACATACTATGGCAACAGCTTGTGTTCTTTGGTATGGGTACCCATGTGTGGGGTCATGTCTTAAATGCTGACTTATATTCACATCTCCTTTTGAACTCTCTAGGATTTTCTTTTCAAGACTTTTACCAACAGTGTCGAGAGGCATTCCTGGTCAATAGTGATCTGACACTTCGGGCCCAGTTAACGGAATTTAGGGACCACAAGCTTATAAGGACAAAGAAGGTGAGAGTTTTGCTATTACAGCATTATATGCTAGGATTACCTTATCTCTTGTTTACTTAAGGACACGTATGCGTTTGACTCAACTTTGACAATAAAATGCAGGTTCCATGATGGGCCACAAGGATCCATTTAGGGGGTGTGCCATTTGAGTTCTACAGAAAGAGATAAAGTAGAAGTACTCAGCTTCAGAGCAGAAAACTTAAAGAGTTCTAGTTCAAGAGTAATAGGCCATTAGAAATAGGAGTCAAATAATTCTATTCCTTTTTCCCCCTCTTCCTTCTACCACATTCGTTAATTGGGTCTATATGGAGCACTAAGTATTAGGATATAGTAGTAAGCAAAAGCCTAACTCCTTTCTGATAGAGCTTAAAGTCTAATGGAGGAGATGGTCATTTGTCAAATAATCACACACACGTAAAGCTTTACCTGTGGTGTCCTATGAGCAGAAAGACACATGGTTCTGAAAGACGTCAGAGTCACATTAGACCACTGAGCTGAGATCTAGAGGGAAACTGGGAGATAACTGGTCAAAGAGAAAAACTGAAAGGCCAGTGTGCCCTAAGACGAGGCTGAAAAGACAATGACGTAAAGGCTAGCCCACACGCTACTTTTAGGCCAAGGAAAGGATTTTAATCTTCATTTGAAAATTAAGGGAAGTCATTAAAAAAAATTGTTCTGACTCTGGTACGGAGAATGGAATGGAGTAGAGTGGAGTAGGGATTGCTAAATGTCAAACACACAGAGACCAGCTAGGGAGGTGTGTTAGTAGGAGTAGTAGTTAGAGCTGATGGTAACTTGACTAGGATGAAGACAGAAAAGTGGTTGGAGATCAGATACACTTGAGAGGCAAAACTGACAAGAATTGATAGATTGGATATGAGCACCAAGGGAAAGTGTCAAGAATGATTTCTGGTGTCTGGCTTGCATAAATAACCAGAGAAATGGTGAGATCACTGGATGAGAAACATTTTTGGGGAGACAGATCATGAGTTCCTGATTGTAGTGTTTGGACTTACTCTGTTTGAGGTTCTTTTGAGATTTCCAAATGGAGATGTCAACTAGGCAACTGGGTTTCCTAGGAAAAGAAACCAGAGGAAAGATCTGAGCTAGAGCTAGATTAATCTCTGTGTATTTAGGTTGTAACGAAAACCAGGCATTGGTAGGAGAGAGATTAGAGGCCAGGAACTAAGCCTAGAAGTGTGACATTAATGGCCAAGAAGAAGATAAACGTGTAGAGGCAGGAGAAATAGCCAGACAGCCAGAAAGAAAACCAGAATATGATGTCATAGAAGCTAAGAGAAGCATGTTTTAAGAAAGAACAGTCAGCTGTGTCAGGTTCTGCTAAGAGGCCAAAAAGATGAAAACTGAAAATATGTATTGGATTCAGGAGTAAGGAATTCCTTGGTGGTCCAAACAGAAGGTCTTTTAATGACATGATAATGGTGGTAGTATCTAGGTTGGACTGGGTTGAGTGAAAGGTGAGGAAACGGACACCAGTAATTATTGACAACTCTTCTGGAAAGGTACAGAGGTTGGGTGATAGAAATGAGAGTTTAGCGAGGGTTATTTAAAAAGGGCAGCACCTGGCTGGCTCAGTCAGTAGAGCATGTTACTGTTGATCTCAGGGTCGTGAATTCCAGCCCACGTTGGGTGTAGAGATTACTTTTTAAATTTTTTTTTAAAAGATTTTATTTGAGAGAGAGCTTGAGCAGGGGGAAGGACAGAGGCAGAGGGACAAGCAGACTTCCCACTGAGTGGGGAGCTCAGGACCCTGGGATCACAACCTGAGCAGAAGGCAGATGCTTAACTGAGCCACCCAGGCACCTAGAGATTACTTTTTTAAAGGGGCGGGGGGGGGGGGCGGGCGGTGTATGGGGGGGTGGAGATACCTGGATAAAAGAACAGAGAAATCAGTAGGGTAAGATTCTAGAAAGAGGAGGGTAAAGAGATCTACTCACCCTCTAGTCTTCTTTTCTACTATGAAGTGGTTTAACTATAAACTCAGTGTATTTAAACAGATAACCCTACGTACCCTTTTGCCTTAATCTTTACATTTCTATATTTCTATAAAATAATAAATGGTTCACCTATATCGCTTTACAAATGACTAACACCCAGGGTATTCTCACTTCTTTTAGGGAACTGATGGAGTGGAATATCTATTAATTCCTGTGGACAATGGAACACTGAGTGATTTCCTGGAAAAGGAAGAAGAGGAGTCTTGAAGTTGTCCTTTACTCTTGAATCTTTTGTGGAAGGAGGGGTTGTACCCCAGCTGCCACTCCTCTAGTCTAAAGTGTTGTGTTTACATCTAACATTAGACTCTTCCAGTGTACAAGACTGAAGATGGGAGGGGAGGAATGTCATCAGTTAGAACCTTGATTAGCCTGGCTGGTGTACCATCTCTATACTATGCAGCGGTCCTCAAGTTGGAGAAAACGTGCCTTTCATTCATTACCTCTCTGGAGACTTCTTGCTGGAATGAACAGTGTGCTCAGGGACTATTTGGAGCTGGATGTTTTTGAATTCTTTTATACTGGAGATATTATTCCTAATTTTTTGAGGGCCTTTTAAACACTCCCAGAGCTGATTGTTTGCAAATGTGTTTGTTCCAGAGCATGGAAGTACAAAAACAGTGACATCACATAAATCTATTTGCTGTTCTGTCAGAGCTGATGAGTGTAAAGAAGGCAGATCATCTTCCTGTTCTTAAAAGGCTTAAAAAAGGTGTGTAAGACTGGGGAAGAGTAGGTGATCTAGCTTTCTCCTTTTGGATTTAGACTCCATGCTGGTGGGGTGGGGGAAGAGGGAATGACCCTCTTCAGTTGGGATAGTGGGAAAAGCATAATGAGCATATCGGGTGTATACCCACCTTAGAAAGCACATGAACAATAATCGTGATACTTGGAACAGCCAACATCTGCGCCATCACCTTCATGACACAAGTAAGAAGCCAGGCTACAGAAACACAGTCCTGAATTACATTTTAGGCATTGTTTTCAAGACAATAGGAAAAAAAAATGTAATTATTCTTGCATTGACATTTTTCTTCAGTAACTTACGAGTAGCATATTAATGGCTGATTTTAATCTGGACTTCTCTATCAAGTAGACCCAAAACTCACTGTAAGATGTTTCAGTTTTTTTCTTAAAGTAACAATTTCAAGCCCTCTAAATATTTACACGAGCCTTTTTCCTTAGGAAAGAGAAAAAGGCTAACTTTGGCCACTGCTCAGCTTATAGTCTTCACATACTCTCTAAAATACTTCATACTTGGAAATGAAATTTTTCAATAAAATATCACTGTAATTGAAACTGCTGATGCGGTACATACTTTATCTTGTAAAGCCCTTTCATGAAACTGTTTCCCAAAATGCTCAGAATTTAAGTCTTTTCTCTTTGTGGCATATAATTTGTTAAATCCATGGATAAGGGTTTAGTCATATATAATCAAAATATTTTAAAAAACTAGTACACGAATTTGATTCTAAAAATTTTTGTTACCAAAGGATATTCAATAAAAAGTGAGTTTCCTTCCCCTTCACCGATCCAGTCCCTTACGCAACCAGTGATAGTTTATTCCTCCAGAGGTATTCTATGCACACGGAAGGGTATGTGTCTGTATCTCCTTTTAAAAACACAAATGGTAGCATATGATATGTGCTCGTTTGCACCTTGTTTTTGCTTAATATATCTAGTTTATAACTTGTAGTATAAAAAAGTATATAAAATCTTTAATGACCTAATATGCAAATTTTGCATTTGCCCCTAAATATCTACTGGTTTATTTTTATAATTTTCGTGTCCATACTACTAATAAGCAGTATGTGTCAACAGTCTATTAATAAATAAAAAGCCAATTTGGATAGAACCACTTTTTTATAGTACTGGTTTTTTACTAAAAATTTTTTAAGTCCTTCAAAAATTTATAAGTGCATCTTACAGATCTGAAGATCTGTAATTCTGCTAATTATTCTACACTCTTCATTAACTTGTTTCAGTATCAATGTTCCTTATACTTTTACCGGTTAAAGAGCTTGACTGCTAAGGCTCCCAACTTCTGTTACTTGCTTCTGACAGGAGTGAACAGACTGAAAACCTTGAAAGATTTTTCTGACTGCTCTTAATAAAATGGCCAAATCGGGGGACCTGGGTGGCTGAGTTGTTAAGCGTCTGCCTTCAGCTCAGGTCATGATCTCGGTGTCCCGGGATCGAGCCCCGCATTGGGCCCCTGCTCCACGGGGAGCCTGCTTCTCCCTCTGACTGCCGTTCCCCCTGCTGGTGCTCTCTCTGATGAATGAATAAATAAAATCTTAAAAATAAATAAAATGGCCAAATACACAGGCCCAAAAAAGGCACAGGGGATGTCGAACAGGCATTCTTGCACCCTATAAAAGTTGACATTAACACTGCATTCCCGATGCAGAGAGTGCTCAATCAGTTCTTGTAATACTGTAGAAACTGATTTTCTTAGCATGTTTGTCATTTTAATACATGAACATTCATATAAAAGATGAGTAAGTTTAGAGAATGGTTCATAGATTTTGCTTCTCTCTTTTTAAAAAACTTACTTGAGAAGTCTACTTTTTTTCCCTCTAATTCAATGTGGAGCCAGTAGCATTGTTCAGAGTGTTTATTCTAGGAGGTGAGCAGACTCTTCCAGCTTAGTCCTGAGTAACCATCAGAGATGACAGTCAGGAGGGTCTGCCTTATCAGACTGTGTGGCTCCTAAAACCGAGGAATAAAAAAAGAAGTGTTACGCAAATGACTTTGTTCTTGGGCTTTCTGTGATCACTTGACTTCTCCCTGAGGAGAGTCTCCTACATTTTGGTCTTTCAAACTGCTGTTGGAACATTTTCGTTCATGTGTGTTGAACACCTCCTACGCAGACGGCTCTGTGCTAGATAGAGGAGTTGCAAGGAATACGAAGGAAGAAATGTTATGGGGTGTTAATAGCATTAAAGGTTCCAGTATTCTTAGTATGCTGAAAAGAAGTCCGAAATAACTGATGCTACGGAAAAGGGAACTTTAAACGTGAGGCGGACAGAAAGCTCCTCGGCACACGCTCTGACAACGTGGGACACAGCAGCACACTTGGGCCTTGCGCCCGCCCGCACACTCGTCACCGCCTTCACTTCTGCTGCCTGACATGCGGTCCTTGAAATGGCAGCAGCTGCAGCAGCTTTCCCTCGGGAACACACAAGTGCTGGGGCCCCACTCGGGCGTCTGAGTCGGTCTGCATTTTTTAAACTACGTCTCCATACATTCTTCTGCACGCTGAGTTTGAAAAGCAGTGAGATATACGACTAAACAATCAACACCTTAAAGTTATCAGTTCAGAAAATCTGACAAGTGAAAATAAAGAATTCATCTTTGGTGACACTTTATTTTTAAAAAACTACAGAGGACATATTTGGGGGTATTTTTAGTTATTTAGAAACGCTAGCATGCCAGTAAAAAAACTTTAAAAATTGCAGTAACAATGGCATTCTTTAACAACAACAACAACAAACCAATTTGGCAATAAGCATGTCCAATCATAAACAAATTCTTTGATCCATTAAATCCCTTCGAAACTCTAACAAAAGGAATTTAATCCACAACCTTCAGGATGAGTAACTGTTAAAGGTGAAAGCATGTCCTAACTCCAGTGTGCCACAAAGGAAAAAAAGGTTTAAGCATCACTGCCCCCAAGCTATTTCTTAAGCATCATCTCTGACCATTATCCTTCCTGCCTCCCGCTTTCTGCCCTGACAATAATGGATGACTTACTTGGGCTTTTTCAATGCACTGAAAAAGTGCTGTTTCTCTATACTTAGCGTTTGTTCAAGCTGTGCCTCCTGACTGAATTCTACCCCCTTGCCCCAGGAAACCTTCCCTGTAAGCCCTCTGCGTATCTTTAGCATAGGTAATTACAGTAAACCCTTAAGTATCATCCAAACTTCTGTCCTATTCTCCCCACATCTCCATGGGCCCGGCACATAGAACACAGCAATGACTGAGGCAAATGCCACCAAGAATCTCTCAAAGCTGTCTGCTCTCCCATTGGCTCGACTTTGATGTCGACCATCCCTCATCAAAGTTTTCTCCTTGGCTTCTGATGCTTTGCTGATTCTCCTCCCACCTCCTCTCCTGGCTCCTCCTCCAACCCTCGAATTGGGGGCATTTCTTAAGGCTCGGTCCTATTGGTTATTTCTGTGGTGAATCAACAGTATTACAGGTGAACCACCACGAATAATTTGTAAGTTAGGATCCCAAATCCTCCAGGAGACGACTGGTAGGATAAGGGTCCTACAAGAGAAATAAAATTCTTCCCTTTCTCATCTTACACAGTATTTTAAAAGACTGGCTTTTGTCATTACCAAAGGAAAAATCTCAGCAGAGAAACTGGAAATATATATAGAAGAATTCGAAAGAAAAAACTCCCATACCACCCAGAGAAAATCCCAGCTAAAATGGATTTCTTTTTCCTTCGGATTTCTTACATACCTCCTGTATCAGGTTTCTCGTCAATGTTCATTAAGAAGTAGTTAAGAACACAGACTCTGGAGCCAGACTACCTGAGTTTGTGTCCAAACTCCCGTCATTTCCTAGCCATGTGGCCTTGGGCAAACTCCTTAACCTGTTTCAGTTTACTCATCTGTAAAATGGAAATCATAATACCTATATTCTTGTTTCTCAAGATTGAAAGTGTTTATAACATACCTGAGAATGCCTAGCACAAAGTTAATATTGTATGATAACTGGGATTATTCTAAAAGCTAACCATCTTTTTATATTACTAATAAAATTCCATGGGTGTTATACATAAACAATGAATCATGGAACACTACATCAAAAACTAATGATGTAATGTATGGTGATTAACATAACATGATAAAATATTACTAATAAAATTCCAGGTGAGTTACCTAAAAAGCAATAAAACAATAGTCATGAATAATGATCTATATTAAAAAACGAAAAAAAACATAAAACCTCACCCTGATTCTGAAATTTAGGTGAAAGATTCGTGATCTGAGAATGGGAACATAGACGTTATCACCCCCTAGAGGCTACTACCTAGAAATAAGTGTTCCAATCTCAAGTTAAACTAACTGAGGGCAGAGAGATCTAGAATGACACATCCCATCTCTAAGTAAGCTAAGGAGAAGACTGCTTGAGCAACTCACCCAGAATGTTAAGTAAACAGATTTCAGTGGATCTCTCCTGGAGTTTATAATGAATATATGCTTTACACTGTATAATCATCTTAATTCATCTTATAATGAATACTTGTTCTTGAATGGTAGTTATGTTATGGTTTTTACCATATGAGCTACAGAACATTTGGTGAAGCAGATTTACAAACCAGAAATAATGTACATTCTAAGACATTCTTCCAGGAGGATTCTAACTCCACTGATTCATGTTATGCATTCAAGTTGGGAGGCAATCGATTTGCAGAGTGTCATCCTGTTATTCCTGTATGCTTTATACCACATGAAGAGGGTCCCTGTCTGTCTCTGACAGGATAATATTAATCTTATTCTCCAAGTGAGCACCCAGCATATCTCGAAGATCAGAAAGAAAGCCTCGTTCAGTGTTGCTATGTTCACAGAGGATGACATTTATTCCTTGGGATGCAGCATCCAGAACATCATGATGGGACATCTCACCTGCCAACAAAGGAAAGAGCAAATACTTAAATATTAGACATGGAGTCTGTAGAATGCTGAACCATAAGTCAGGTACAGGTTTTCTTACATGTCCTCCAATTTAGAAAGAGACCATCCCACTGAGAATTCCAAATTCTTCCTCCTTGGCCTGCTCAAGACAAGTTTCTAAAGCCGCATATACAACAGTTTCTAACACTGCCAGAACCAGACCCATAAGGACACCCATTCCAAGTGTTTCCATTAGTGGCGCCTGGGGGGCTCACTGGTTAAACTTCTCTCTTAATCTCAGCTCAGCTCTTGATCTCAGGGTTATGAATTTGAGCCCTGCATTGGGCTCCATGCTGGGCCTGGAGCCTACTTTAAAAAAAAAAACAAAAACAAAAAATGTTTCCATTATAAAATAAGTGACCACTGTTAAGTAAACTGGGGCTTTCAGAAAACTCTCTCGTATAAATATTACATAACAAATATCTCCAGAAAATCCTAGGTATACTTTCCAAAGACTCCTTTATGCTTTGTGAACACCAAAATTTTCAGTATAAAACTCTAGTCTAATTCATAGAGATGAAATGAGTTTAAGATTATTTCTAAATTAAAGACAGGTAAAAAAATAAAAACAGGGCATTTATTTTCCTTTGACTAAGGCAAAATTTCTAGAAATTCTGAAGTTACTGGCAGAAGAGGATCTCATCTTTTATAAAAAGATTTTGGGAAAACTCAAGTGTTTTGAATTTTTAAAAAACCCCATTTGTGAATCTGATGACTTCAAATTTAACAGCAAAAAGACACTGCACAATTTGGCTTGTTAATAAGCATAATTTTGAAATATGTTTAGAGCCCTAAAATTTAGCATTAAAAAATTAAGAAAAAAAGGTTTTTTTCCCTGAGAAATTTTCAATCCCCCACACTTCCCCCTGCTCCCCAATATATGAAATTTCATAATATGGGATAGTTCTTATTCAAGCACCTTTTAAAATGTCTTTTTTTTTTTTAAGATTTTATTTACTTATTTATTTTAGAGAGCGCGTGAGCGGAGGGGCAGAGGGGGAGAGAGACTCTCAAGCAGACTGCCTGCGGAGTGCGGTGCCCAGCCTCCCAACCCTGAGATCATGACCAGAGCTGAAACTGAGAGTCAGATGCTTGAATGACTGAGCCACCCAGGCGCGCCCAAAGTATCTTAATCTGTAACAGTGAAATATTTTAATCTGTAATAGAAAAAAAGACCCTAACGGGCCCAGTTAGAAGGCATGCTTCAGGAGAGACAAGTCTGGTGGCCTAGACGGTTAGAAATGCTCTAAGGAGAAGGTGTGAAAGTGGAGGAGTCTGCAAAGACTCTGCAATAACAGCTGAATAATAGTTGAATAAAAGCTAAAAGGGAAGGGAGGCCTAGCTCGGGATGGTAGCTGTGGGAAAGAAAGAGCAAATGAGAGCGAATTTATATTTGCAAGGAGCGAGCACCCCAACTGCTGGTCCTTCCCCAACATTGCCCTTAATGACCTGATACTACCATGTTCCGCTCAAGGGAAGGGTGATGGACATCAGCAGAGGCCTGTGTATGGTCTCTGAGCTGGGTACTTTTCATCCCTAAAGTTATACTCAAAGTATACTCAAAGATACCTCAAAGATCACAGACGACCAAGGTCAGCCAGGTAAGACACTTTGTATTTCCTCAAGTAACCAGATAGGAAGGCTATTTTAACAATTCTGGATTACATTAATTAATCTTTGCACATATTGCTTAATAGTTAAAAAAAACTAGTTTTAAGAAAGTCATTATTTATGAGAAAACAATCACATGCCCCAAACTGAGAGATATGCCACAAAACAAATGGTCTATACTCTTCAAAAATAACAGTGCTCTGGACAAAGATGCATTCTAGATGCAGTGATCAGGGAGGGACTAGATACCAATCAGAAAAAGAAATGCTACAATTCTGATCAATTGGCAAAATTTAAATACAGACTACATATTAAATAGGTGTTTTAACAATATTAAATTCCTGTATTTCATCACTGTGCATGGTCATATAATGTCTTCATCCTTAGGAGACCTATGCTGATGTATTTAGGGATAAGATAAAAGGTCATGTATACAATTTATTATAAAATGGTTTTGGGGGAAACACATAAACAAATATATATATATACACACACCCATAGATACTTATACACACACATACATACATACACATATATGTATGTGACACAGAATGTGCAAAGGTAGCAAAATATAACCATCAGTAATCTTTATTATTCATTTATTTTTTTAAGTAGCTCCATGCCCAGTGTGGAACCCAACACAGGGCTTGAACTCATGACCCTGAGATTAAGACCTGAACCGAGATCAAGAGTCAGACATTTAACTGACTATGCCCCTATAACCATTAGTAATCTTAAGTGAAGGGCGTACAAAAGTTCACTGTACTATCCTTGCAACTTTTCTACAGGTCTGAAATTTCTTCAAAGTAAAATGTTATAATTATATATATATGTATTTTTAAAGATTTTATTTATTTGACAGAGACACAGCAAGAGAGGGAACACAAGCAGGGGGAATGGGAGAGGGAGAAGCAGGCTTCCTGCAGAGCAGGGAGCCCGATGCGGGGCTCGATCCCAGGACCCTGGGATCATGACCTGAGCCGAAGGCAGATGCTTAACGACTGAGCCACCCAGGCACCCCTTATATTTTTTTTAAGATTTATTTATTTAACAGAGAGAGAGAAGGAGAGCAGGGAGATGAGCAGAGGGAGAGGGAGACAAGCAGACTCCCTGCTAAGCAAGGAGCCTGATGAGGGACCTGATCCCACAACCCTGAGATCATGACCCAAGCTGAAACCAAGAGTCAGACACTTAACCAACTGAGCCACCCAGGTGCCCCTACAGTTAATTTTAAAATAGTCATGGGGAGCCTGGGTGGCTCAGCTGGTTGAGCATCCGACTCTTGGTTTCAGCTCAGGTCATGATCTTAGGATTGTGGGATCGGCCCCCAGGTCAGTCTCTATGCTCAGCAGGGAGTTGGCTTGAAGATTCTCTCGTCTACCCCTCCCCTGCTCGCTTTTGCTCTCTAAAATAAGTATTTAAAGAATTAAAACAATAAATACTAAAATAATTATATAATGCTATAAGATATTCTGTCAAATTGCTTATCCATTGAAAGTTTTTTTTTCTTTTTTTTTTTTTTTAAGATTTTATTTATTTATTTGACAGAGAGACACAGCGAGAGAGGGAACACAAGCAGAGGGAGTGGGAGAGGGAGAAGCAGGCTTCCCGCTGAGCAGGGAACCCGACGCGGGGCTCGATCCCAGGACCCCGAGACCATGACCCGAGCCGAAGGCAGACACTTAATGACTAAGCCACGCAGGCTCCCCTGAAAGTTTACTTCCATCTGGTACAAGTTGGAGGGCTTATAAAAATTTTCCATCTTTAGAAGAATAGAAAACAGGTAATGGTCATGTACATTTTTAGTAAGTTCAGAGCAATTACATCAGGCTTGCTCAGATGATGCACTTCTATACTTCCGGATGTGACAATGTTAAGTTCAGCAGCCTCTGAAGGAGGGTGTGCTAGATAATAAGGGGCATGGACATGGGAGGCAGGAGAGGAGTAATAATGCAGAGGCTTAGGAAGTAGCTATGGGAAAGGCCAGGGGGTTAAGACCCTGGATTCTGGTCCTAGAAGTCAAAAAAGTAATTTTTTTTTTAAAGATTTTATTTTTAAGTAATCTCTGTACCCGACGTGGGGCTCGAACTTACAACCCCACGACCAAGAGTTACATACTCTACTGAGCCAGCCAGGTACCCTGGAGAAAGTAATTAACTCCCTCTCTCCTAACCCTAAGGAGGAACAGAGTTGGAAATGCAGGTGGTATCAGCAAGTGTATCAAGAGCCTCCAAATACTTTGAATAAGAGGCCATGTTATCTATTAGATGTTATCCGCTAGGACAGAATGTCAAGCCTGGGTGCCAAACAATTACTGTCCAATAGAAATGCATCCTAGAGGTGAAGGACAAAGCGAGAGGGATTGGAGAGGAAGGCATGCCCATCAGGGCAGAAGCCAGACAGTGACGGGAAAAGCTTCTCCGAGGAGGTACCTGAGCTTATCACTAGAAGTATAGAGAAAGGGGCAAGAAAGGCATTCCAGCCGGAGAAAACAGCGTAAGCAAAGGCTGCATGGAAGAGGATGAACGTTCAGGCTTGACCAAGACACATAAAGGAAATCACTGAAGGCTTTGCAGCTAGGATCATATTATACCCCATCAAATTTGTACTTGTGAACAGCAGTTAATTTGGGGGGTGTATGTGGAAGACTAAAATTAGGGACTTACCAAAGTAATTCAGGTAGGAGATGATGCCTGAGTAGAGATAAGAGGAAAGACTCTATGAAGATTCTGGAGCTAGAACTGACAGGAACTAATGATTGGCTCTAGGGCTGAGTAAGAACCATTTGCTGGCTAAGGTGGAAGGGTAGAAAGTGTCCCATTAAAAGAAATCATGTGTAGGAAGAAGACAGGTTAAATAAATGCTCAACATCAGTCTTTTAGATAATCTAATAATAAACTGCAAAATGATTTTTTTCCCCCCTACAAAGAATATGATCTGTCTCCAATTTCAGGGTGGTTCCTGTTTAGTTCAGGTTCAAACAACAGTTATCAGATCCATTTATATACCAAGCGCTGTCCTAAAATCCATTTTTTATCTTGTAAAACATACACCAAGGTTGGGAAAGGATACACACAAAAAAAGAAAAGGAGACCCAAAGGCTGTCCTACCTGTGAGGTAAAGGTCGGCCTCCATCCCCTGCAGCACCGTGCTCCCAGAACCAGCGCAGAGGGCCACAACTTTGACTGGAGACTCTTCAGGATAAAGGAAACAAGAAGACCAATATTTTACAATTCCCCTTCATTTTAGCATTATAATTTGCACCAAGAATCCTTCACGTAATGCAGATTTCAGTCCTGGTCTCATCACCAGTACCTCAACTTTGCTTACTGAATTTTAAAAAGTAACAAAACATGTCTTCATAGAAACAAGCAGATTATTCTTTGGTATTGCATAAATAACCCAACACAGGGCTGTTCTTTCCTCAGATGTACGTGCTGCACAAGCCCATGTCAGGTAGCACTGAACAGTGCTCACTGCGCAGCTCTAGGCTTTATCCCTGCTGCGAGGTGAAGTGACCTCTCCTGGGTTTCCATGCAACAGTGAGAGGTAGGCAGGTACTATCTCTGTTCTCAGGTGAGGAACCAAAACAGCTAGTTAAAGGAATGCTACAAGTTGATTTGACATACATTTTTAAATATATTTACTCTAAAAGAACAACCTCTGAAGAGTTGAAGAGTAAAATAACAGAAACTTTGAAGCCCAAATCCAACAGGTATTTAGCCCTTAAGGCTTCTAGAATGGACACCTCATTAGTGGTCACTACATTAGAGGTATTTTAAAGATTTATTCATTTGAGAGAGAGAGAGCGTGTGTGTGCACGTGTGACCGGGGTTAGGGGCGGAGGGAGAGAGAATCCTCAAGCAGACTCCCCACTGAGCGTGGAGCCTGATGCACGGCTTGATCCCAGGACCCTGAGATCATGACCTGAGCTGAAATCTAGAGTCAGACGCTCAACCAACTGAGCCACCCAGGCACCCCCTGGGGTATTTTAAAAGAGGGGTTCTCTGCATGGAGAGCCCCGGGATCCCCAGCTCTGTACCCACTTCAGCTACAGCTGTCCTGCGAGGGTGCCCCTGCATAAAGCACCTTGGGACCTCCCCAGCCCACTCCCCACCTCTGCTCCAGCTGCCCCACTGAGGCACTCCCTGCACAGAGCACCCTGGGACACTCGGCTTACACCCACTTCAGCTTCAGTTATCCTGCCAGGATGCCCTCTACACTGAGAGCCGAGGGACACCCCAGTGTGCACGCACTTCAGCTTCAGCTGTCCTACCAGGGCATTCTCTGAGAGCCTCAGGACCATCCTGGTCCATGCCCACTTCAGCTCCTGCCATCCCACTAGGATAGCCCCAGCACAGAGTGCCCTGGGACTCCAAGATCATGCCAGACACGGCTCCAGCCAGCCAGCCAAAGTCACCGGGCACATACAGCCTACACAGGGATGATCATACACAAGACCATCCCTTCAAGTTTAGGAGAAGTAGCTGTTCCGCCTCATTCATAGAAATGAACACAGAAAGCCAAGCAAAACAAGGAGACTGAGGAATAAATTCCCAATGAAAGACGAAACCTCAGAAAAATAACTAAATGAAACAGAGATAAGCAATATGCCAGGCAGAGTTTAAGAAATGGTCATAACGATGCTCACCAGACTGGGGAGAAGAGTGGAAGAACTCAGTGAGAACTTCAACACAGAGACAGAAAACATAAAGAACCTATCTGAGTTGAAGAATATAACTGAAATGAAAAATACACTAGAGGAAATCAACAGATTAGTGGATGCAGAAGAATGGATCAGTGATCTGAAAAACAAGGTGATGGAACACACCCAACCTGAACAGCAAAAAGAAAAACATTTTTTTAACGAGGATACAGTAAGGGATCTCTTCAACAACATCAAGCTAACAAACATTAGCATTACATGGGTCCAAGAAGGAGAAGAGAGAAAGAAAGAGGCAGAAAACTTATTTGAAGAAATAATAGCTAAAAACTTCCCTGATCAGAAGGAAACAGACATTCAAGTTCAGGAAGCACAGAGAGTTCAAACAAAATGAACCCAAGGAGGTCCATACCATGACACATAATAACTGAAATGTCAAAGACTAAAAGAGAATTTTATCAGCTGATTTTCAGCAGAAATTTCGCAGGCCAAAAGGGAATGTTCATGATATATTTAAAGTGCTAAATGGAAAAAAACCTACCACCAAGAATAATCTACCCAGCAAGATTATCATTCAGATTTGAAGGAAAGATAAAATGAGCTTCCCAGACAAGCAAAAGTTGAAGGAGCTCATCACCATTAAGCCAGACTTACATGTTAAAGAACTTCTTTAAGTGGAAAAGAAAAAGCCGTAATTAGAAGAAAGTTATGAATAAGAAGTAAAATAAGATGATGTATACAAAAAACATAGAGGAGGGAGTAAAAAAGAAGTTCTTTTAAAATGAGTTCCAACTGGGGCACCTGGGTGTCTCAGTCACCTGGGCAGCCAATTCTTGATTTTGGCTTGGGTCATGATCTCGGGGTCCTGGGATTGAGCCCCACATGGGGCTCCATGCTCAGTGGGGAGCCTGCTTCAGGATTCTCTTTCCCTCTGCCCCTCCCCCCACTTGCTCACTTTCTCTTTCTAAAATGAATAAATTTAAAAACAAAATGTGTTCCAACTTAAGTGACCATCACATTATTATAGATGGCTATATACTTAGGATTCTATAGATAAACCTCCTGGTAACCACAAACACAAAACCTGTAACAGATACACAAAAAGTGAAGAGAGAGAAAGCCAAGCATAACACTAAAGAAAATCATCAATTACAAGGGAGAAAGAGAAGAAAGGAACAGAGAAGAACTACATAAACAACCAGAAACTAAATAACAGTGAGTACATACCTATCAGTAATTATTTTAAATGTAAATGGTCTAAATGCACCAATCAATAAACTTAGGGTGGCGGAACAGATAAAACACAAGACCCAACTATATGCTGCCTACAAGAGACTCACTTCACACCTAAAGACACATACAAAATGAAGGAGCAGAAATGAAAAAAGATATTCCATGCAAATGGAAGCAAAAAAAAAAAAAAAAAAAGCCAAGGTAGCAACACTTACATCAGACAAAACAGACTTTAAAACAAAGACTAACAAGGGACAAAGAAGGGCATTACATAATGATAAAGGATCAATGCAAAAAGAAGATATACCAATTATAAATATCTATGCACCCAACATCAGAGCACCTAAATACATAAAGCAAATATTAACAGACAAAGGGAAAATTTGACAGTAATACCATTATAGTAGGGAACTTTAACACCCACTTACATCAATGGATAAATCATCCAGGCAGAAAATCCATAATGAAACAGTATCTTTGCATGACACATTAGTCCAGATGGGCCTAACAGATATACATTGAACATTCCATCCCAAAAAAACCAGAATACACCTTCTTTTCAAGTGTACATGGAAGATTATCCAGGATAAATCACGTTAGGCCCCAAAACAAGTCTCAATATTTTTTTTTTAAGATTTTATTTATTTGACAGAGAGAGCGAGAGAGAGCACAAGCAGGGAGAGCAATAGAAGGAGAGGGAGAAACAGACTCCTCGCCAAGCAGGGAGCCCAATGTGGGGCTCAATCCCAGGACCCTGGGATCATGACGTAAGCTAAAGGCAGATGCTTAACTATCTGAGCCACCCAGCTGCCCCGAAGTCTCTAAATTTAAGAATGAAAATGAATCATGCATCTTTTCAGACCACAAGGCATGAAACTAGTAATCAACCACAAGAAAAAAACTGGAAGAAACCACAAATATGTGAAAGCTAAAAAATCAATGGGTCAACAAAGAAATCAAAGTAGAAATAAAAAAATACAGAGAGACAAAAGGAAATGAAAAAAGTCCACAATGGTCCAAAATCTGAGACTCAGCAAAAGCAGTTCTACGGAAAATTTACAGTGATACAGGCCTACCTCAAGAAACAAGAAACATCTGAAGTAAACAATCTAACCTTACACTTAAAGGAATTAGAAAAAGAACAAAACCCAAGGTCAGTAGAAGGAAGGAAACAAAAGAGCAGAGAAATAAATGAAAAAGACTAAAAAAAAACCCCCAAAAACCCAACAATAGAAAATATCAGTGAAACCAAGAGTCATTTCTTTGAAAAGATAAACAAAATTGATAAACCTTTGGCCAGACTCAAGAAAAACAGAGAGGACCCAAATTTAAAAAATCAGAAATGAGAGAAGTAACTACTGACACAACAGAAATACAAAGGATGAGAGACTACTTCGAAAAATTACATGCCCACAAACTGAACAACGCAGAAGAAATGGATAAACTCTTGGAAATACACAATCTTCCAAAACTGAATCAGGAATAAATAGAAAATCTGAACAGACTGATTACTAGTAATCAAACTGAATTGATAATCAAAAAACTCCCAACAAATACAAGTCTAGATGAATTTACGGGTGAATTCTACAAGAGTTAATATTTATTCTCCTCAAACTATTCCAAAAAATAGAAGAGAAGGAAATCTTCCAAATACATTCTACAAGGCCAGCATTACCCCAATTCCAAAATCAGACAAAGACACTCCCAAACTACAGGCCAATATCCCCAGTGAACATAGATGCAAAAATCCTCCACAAAATATTAGCCAACCACATTCAACAATACATTCACCACGATCAAGTAGCATTTATTCTAGGGATGCAAGGATGCTTTGATAGTCATAAAATCAATGTAATACACCACGTTAACAAAGCGAAGGATAAAAATCATACAGTCATCTCAATAGGTGCAGAAAAAGCACTGGACAAAATTCAACATCTGTTCAACAAAGTGGGTTTAGAGGAAACATTCCTCAACATAATAAAGGCCATATATGGAAAAACTCCCAGCTAACATCATACTCAATGATGAAAAACTGAGAGCTTTTCCTCTAAGCTCAGGAATAAGACAAGAATGCCCACTCTTGCCACCAGAAGTCCTAGTCATAGCAATCAAACAAGAAATAGATATCCAAATTGATAAGGAAGAAATAAAACTATTTGTAGGTGACATAATAGTATACATAAAAAACCCCAAGACTCCATCAAAAAACCATTAAAAGTAATAAATTCAATAATGTTGCAAAATACAAAATTAATATATAGAAATCTGTTACATTTTTATACACTAATAATGAAGTAGCAGAAAGAGAAATTAAGGAAACAATTCCATTTACAATTGCACCAAAAATAATAAAATAGCAATAAACTTAACCAAGGAGGTGAAAGTCCTGTATTCTGAAAACTATAAAACACTGATACAAGAAATTGAAGATGACACAAATGGAAAGATAATCCATTATCATGGATTTGATAATGGAATATTAAAATGTCCATACTACCAAAAGCAATCTACAGATTCAATGCAATCCCTATCAAAATACCAACAGCATTTTTCATGATACTAGAACAAATAATACTCAAATTTGTATGGAATCATAAAACACTCTGAAAAGCCAAAGCAATCTTGAGAAAGAACAAAGCTGGAGGCATCACACTTCTTGATTTCAAGATGTACCACAAAGGTTTAATAATCAAAACAGCACGGTACTGGCACAAAAAGAGACACATAGATCAATGGAACCGAATAGAGCCCCGAAATAAACCCACATTTATATATGGTCAATTAATCTTCAACAAAGGAAGCAAGAATATGCAATGGGAAGAAGTCTGCTCAACAAATGATGCTGGGAAAACTGGACAGCTACATGCAAAAGAATGAAACTGGACCCCTATCCTACCACCATACACAAAAATAAACTCAAGATGGATTAAAAACTTAAATGTGAGACCTGAAACCATAAACTCCTAAAAGAAAACATAGACAATAATTTCTCTTACACTGAACTTAACAATACTTTTCTAGATAGGTCTCCTGAGGCCAGGTAAACACAAGCAAAAACTGGAACGACACCAAAATAAAAAGCTTTTGCACAGGGACATCTGGGTGGCTCAGTCAGTTAGGCGTCTGCCTTTGGCTCAAGTCATGATCCTGGAGTCCTGGATTGAGCCCCACGTTGGGCTCCCTGCTCAGCAGGGAGTCTGACTCTCCCTTTGCCCCTCACCCCGACTGCGCTCGCTCTCTTGCTCTCTCTCAAAAAAATAAAATCTTAATTAAAAACAAAAAAAACCTTTTGCACAGCAAAGGAAACCATTGACAAAATGAAGAGGCAATTTACTGGAAGGGGAATAGATATTTGCAATGATAAATCCAAAAACAGGTTAACATCCAAAATATATTAAGAACTTATACAACTCAACACTAAAAACAAAAAACAAATAATCCGATTTAAATGGGCAGAAAACCTGAACATTTTTTCAAAGACATACAGACGGCCAAAAGACATGTGAAGAGATACTCAACATCACTCATCATCAGAGAAATGCAAATCAAAAACCACAAGGAGGTATCATTCACACCTGTCAGAAAGGATGAAATCAAAAAGACAAGAAATAACAAATGCTGGCAAGATGTGGAGAAAAAGGAACCTTCACGTACTGTTGGTGGGAATGCAAACTGGTGCAGCCACTGTGGAAACCAGTATGGAGGTTCCTCAACAAATTAAAAATAGAATACCATATGACCCAGTAACCCCACTACTATTTACACAAAGAAAATAAACACACAAACTTGAAAAGACATATACACCCCTATGTTTACTGCAGCATTATTTACAACAGCCAAGCTAAGGAAGCAACATAAATGCACATCAATAGATAAATGGAGAAAGATGTGGTAAGTATACATAATGAAACATTTACTCTGCCACAAAAAAAGGAGATCTTGCCATTTGCAACAACATGGATGGACCTAGAGGGTATTATGCTAGGTGAAATAAGTCACAGAGAAAGACAGATACCATAATGAGGAATCATACATGGAATCTAAAAAAACAAAAGAAATAAATAAAAAGGAGAGCCCTAAATACAGAGAACAGATGGTTGCCAGAGGAGAGGGGAAATGGGCCAAATACGTGAAGGGGAGTAGGAGACACGTCCAGTTACAGAATGAGTAAGTCACGGGGACAAAAGGCACAGCACAGGGAAAATGGTTAATGGTATTGTAATGGTGTTGTATAGTGACAGATTGGTAGGCACACTTAGTGAGCATAGCAGCATCTACAGACTTGTTGAACACCTGAAACTAATATGACATTGTATGTTAAGTATACTTCAATTAAAAAATAAATGAAACAGGGGCACCAGGGTGGCACAGGTGGTTAAGCGTCCAACTCTTGGTTTCAACTCAGGTTGTGATCTTAGGGTCATGAGATCAAGCCCTACATCAGGCTCCGCGCTCAGCGCAGCGTCTGCTTGGGATTGTCTCTCCCTCTCCCTCTGCCCCTCCCGCGCCCCCCCCCCCACACCCACGTGCGTGCTTGCTCTCTCTCCAAAATAAAGATATAAATCTTTAAAAAATTAAATCAATCAATCAATCAATAACATAAAAATGTTGTTTGAAAGAAAAAAATCAAAAAAGCAGCTTTGGGGTTGGATCAGAAGTCAAATCCCATCTCTGCCACCCATTTTCTTTGGAAACTAACTTCCATGAGTTGTTTGGGGACTAAGTTACCTATTTGTCTGAACCTGTAATATAATGGAACAAAAATACCTCCCACATAATTAACAGCTAGCATGTACTATATTCAATGTATGCCAGTCACTGTGCCCTGTCACATGAATTAGACTAACTTGATGAGTAAGGTTTTCTTATTGTTACTGCAGTTTTTACAGATGAGACTACCATGACACAGAGGTGTTCACTGACTCGTCAAAGTCATGCAGCAAATAGGACAGACAAATTTGAACCCAAGGCATTCAGAATCCACACTCAGAACAAGTATGCCCCACTCACTGCCTTTGCAGTGGGAATTCACATACTTAAGAAGTTCAGTACACTGCTAGGCTCACTGCAGGACAAATGGTCTGTTCACTTCCTTTGTTCCCCCAAATACTGGGAAAAGCCAAAGGACAAGGCAGTGGCTATAAGACTCAAACTGCAGTGGGTCACTTTGCACCTCATTATAAAATATCACCAGTATTGTAAAATATAACATTTGCATTGTTAATTGGAGCAATAACAATTTCCAGCTCTCTTCTTGGCCCATGGTAGGACTGCATTTCATGCCCTGACTTGTACTGGCAATGTGATTAATTCTGGACATGAGTTAAACAGAAAATGTATCATTTCCAGGCTGGAATACTTAATTGATGCTTTAAGACCCTCCTAACTCTCCCTCTGCAACAGAAATCAGTCTACAGTGAGGAGACTTCTGCTGCTGACTTGAAATGAACACCAAATATGAGAGAGATATAAATCTTGTTTGAGCCAATAAGATGTATACCACAGCATAACCTAGCCCACCCTGATTGATAAAATAAACCAGTCATCTCCCATGAGCTAACATGTTTCCTGTCACTTATATGAATATATAACCAAGAGCTTCAACTTTTGCCCAAACGCTACATAATACTACATTAGTAGATACACCGGACAAATAAACAGTACATATTTACCTAAGGTCCTTCCTACCCCAAGAGCAAGGCGAACATGAGATAGTTTAAGGTGCCTTTTGATTCGCTCAATCATGGTTGCCAAGGAAACAGATTCATCCAGTGTGCATAACCGTCCCATTCCAGTATGTAGAAGCAGAGGCTGAGGAGAAACAGAAGTTAGAAAAACTATCCATCTTCATCCTAGAAAACAAACAGCAAATGATGAGAATAAAACATGCACACTGAGCTTACTATAGCCAGCACCAGGCTAAAGTCTCGATATGCAAACCTGACAAAAATATTCTCTGACTTCTATGAGCTCAGTCTTCTGGAAAGGCAGATCTTTAGATAACTAATCATAATAAAAGTGTTTAAATACAAGAGAGGTGCTATTTTATGGAAGCACAAGGAAACCACAAAATAAATGAGCTGGTACTTGGCGTGGGGGTACTTGGAGGAAGTGCAATCAAAGGGGTTCTTTTTGTTGTTGTTGTTGTTTTTTAAGATTTATTTGTCAGAAAGAGAGAGAACATAAGCAGGGGGAGCGACAGGCAGAGGGAGAAGCAGGCTCCCCGCTGAGCAAGGAGCCCAATGTGGGGCTCGATCCCAGCACCCTGGGATCATGACCTAAGCCGAGGGCAGATGCTTAACTGACTGAGCTACCCAGGCTCCTGGAATCAAAGGTTTTACAGAGACTTGGGTCTCCCAGATCAGAAAAAAGGTTAAAAAAAAAAAAAAAAAAGGAGTGATGGTAAGTGCAGTGTAGTAGGAAAGGGATAGGGTGAAATGTGGAAAGGCATGAGCTCAGGGTGGATCTAAGAACAGACACTCTAGCTGGTGTGCAGAGCAAGGGCTAGGGACAGAAGGTATGGCCAGTCATGAAGGGCTTTGTACACTGTGCCAGAAAGCATGGACTGTCTCTTTTAAGTGCCCACTAGGGAGACTACTCATCTCCCAGGTGACGAAAGATGAGAGTTTCAACTACTACGATGACAAAGCAAATAGAGAAGAGACAGTTTCGATTTGGGGACAGATCAGCAGGGCTGGGATTTATGAGAGGCAAGGCAGAGTTGTGGAATCTTGGAAAATAAGGTAGGTGATGATGCCACCAATGAAACAGAAAAAATATTTAAAGGGGTGATGTAGGGGCGCCTGGGCGGCTCCATCGGTTAAGCATCTAACTCTTGACTTCGGCTCAGGTCATGATCTTAGGGTGGAGCTTGCTTAAGATTCTCTCTCTCCCCCTCTCTCTGCCCCTCCCCCCAACCCCTGCTCTCACGGGTGTGCATGTTCTCTCTAAAAAATAAATAAATAAAAATAAAGGGGTGATATAGGGTATAAGGTCAGTATTTGTATATATTGAAGTACTTGTGGGATCTATTAGGAGGAAAATGTCCACAGAGTCCCTGGAAATACGAGTTTAACTTTTTACCTTAAGAAAGCATTCTGAGCCAGAAAAGTCAAGATATAGGAATCATTATACAAATGGTGGCCAATTGTTAAAGGAGCAAATAAAATGGTCCAGGCAGAGGGTATAAAAGAGATAGAATCTATAACCTGTAACGGAGTCTCTAACCCTAAAAAGAACTGCTATGTAATACTAGGTGTCAACTACACTTCAATAAAAACAGAATCTTTAGGGGCGCCTGGGTGGCTCAGTCGGTTAAGCATCTGCCTTCAGCTCAGGTCATGATCCTGGAGTCCTGGGATTGAGCCCTGCATCCGGCTCCCTGCTCAGTGGGGAGTCTGCTTCTCCCTCTGCCCCTCTCCCTGCTTGTTTTCTCTCTCAACTAAATTTTTTTTTAAATCTTAAAAAAAACAAACAGAATCTTTAAAATTATTTTTTATTTTTATTTTTTTTGAGAGAGAGAATACATGTGAGCTTGGGGGGAAGCGGAGTCTTGAGCAGGATCCACACCCAGCGTGGAGGCCCACTTCATGACCCACCTCATGAGATCATGACCTGAACCAAAATCAAGAGACGGACACTTAATGGACTGAGCCACCCAAGTACCCCAAAACCAGAACTTTTTTTTTTTTTAAAGTACGGCACCACTATGACCTGAATATGTCTGCCCCACACAAATGGATACGTTGAAATCCTAACCCCCAAAGGTGATGGTATCAGGAGGTGGAGCCCTTGGGGGGTACCTAAGTCATGAGTAGGGAGCCCACATGACTGGGATTCGCTTATAAAATAGGCTCAAAGATATCGCTAGTCCTTCCTTTTATGTGAGGACACAGAGAGAAGGCGCCACTGATGAACCAGGAAGTGGGCCCTCACCAGATACCACTCCCAATCTGTTGGTACCATTACCTTGGACTTCCCAGCCTCCCGAACTGTGAGAAATACATTTCTGTTCTTCAAAAGCTATCCACATAGAGCCCAGATATGTTATAGCAGCCCGAAGAGACTAAACATCTATCAACACTTTTCCACTCCTGGAACGTCTCCCTTTCTCAATATATTTTTCAGGGTATTTTATGCACTCAACACCATCTTGTACTTCTTTAAGTAAAGTTAATAGCCTGTCAATCTAACAATTTACAAATAAATCTGTCAAACAAAAATGCACAGTAATATATTTTTATTACCTTCTCCAGTGACAGAATTTCGGTCTTCTGATAGAACTGTCTGCTCTGGGAAAGAAAAGCCACCACCTGTATCAAAGCCTCCTGACTACAATTCAGACTAATCCGTGTTTGTTCTTCACCATCAGTCCTATTAAAAAAAAAAAAATCACTTGCTCCTTTAGGATAAATGTAAGTGAAATGTATTTCATTTTTCGTAAAGATTTTATTTATTTGAAAGAGAGAGAAAGCGAGCATGTGCTCACAAGAGAAGGGGCAGGGCGGGAGGGAGAGAGAATCCCAAGTAGACTTTGTGCTGAGTTTGGACCTCACTGCCGCGAGGCTCAATCTCACAACCCTAAGATCTTGACCTGAGCTGAAACCAAGAGTCAGGTGCTTAACCAGACACTTAACTGACTGAGCCACCCAGGTGCCCTTTGAATCGTATTTTAAACAATCCAGTTTACAACCTCCTGAAAAAGAGATTAGATTACATGAAATTTAGGATTCAATCCCAAACCAAACTATTCTCTAGAATAATATTCCTCAAACTTCAGCATGCATCAAAATCTCCTTATAGATTTTTTTTAAAAAGATTTATTTGAGAGAGAGAGAGCATGAGCGGGAGGGGCAGAGGAAGAGGGAAAGAGAATGTCAAGCAGGCTCTGCGTTCAGTGTAGATCCCAACACAGGGCTTGATCTCATGACCCTGATATCACAACCTGAACGGAAACCAAGAGTCAGATGCTTAGCCCCACTGCACAACCCAAGCACCACAAAATCTCCTTGTAGACTTATTAAAACACAGATTGCTGAGCTTTACCACCAGAGTTTCAGATTCAGTAGGTCTAGGTGGGGATCTGAGAATTTACCTTTCTAACAAGCTGCAGGTGATGCTGAGGTTGCTGACGCAGGGACCTCACTTTGAAACCACTGTTATAGAACTATTCTTTTTTTTTTTTTTGGACAGAGAGCACAGAGCAGGGGAAACAGCAGAGGGAGAGGGAGAAGCAGACTCTCCGCTGAGCAGGGAGGCCGATGCGGGGCTCAATTCTAGGACCCTGGAATCATGACCTGAGCCAAAGGCAGATGCTTAACCTACTGAGCTACGCAGGGGCCCTGTTATAGAACTATTCTAAATCCCAGGTGTGTATCAGCAATCTGCTAGCTTCTTAAAATGATAGCTGCTGGACCCTTCTACAGATCCAGTGAAACAGAACTTCTGCGAATGGGAGTAGGGCAAACTGAATTTTTTAAGGCCCTACAGAAGTTAACTTTCAAATATCACTGAATACAAGGATCTCTGGGACAGATTTTCAGGCAAACCCAATTCTAATTACATAGATCTAGGATGAAAAGCCAAAAATGTGCATTTTTCATAAGCATCCCATTAACAATGATGTAGGGGGTCCTTGAGTCACCCTCTGAAAAGCAATGCCCTAGAGCCTCTCCAGAAAGATTGGCATCAGGAAAGTTTTGTATTTAACCATAAACTCTAACTATAATCATAGAGTTCTAGAACTAAAAGACACCTTAAAAGAATCTGGAGTTGTTGTCAACCCTGGAATCATCTGTGGAGCTTTGAAAAGAAAAACTGCCTGGACCCCAATCTAATGGTAAAGCCCAGATATTACCTGTAATAGGGAAAAACTAAAACCAAATGTGCATCAGTTTAAAAAAAAAAAAAAAAAAAGCTCATCAGTTAGGAAGAAGAATGCTTAAAGAAACCCAGTACATCTAAAGTAAGAAACACTACACAGCAGGTAAAGAGATCTTCTATAACTATATGGGATGATCTCTAAGACACCCTGGTAAATAAAAAAAGGCAAATGCAGCATACCATTTAATTAAGGGGAAAAAAAAAACTATGCATTTCTTCATATCCCTGTATACGTATGAAAAGATACCCACTTCTCCAAAAACAGGGAAAAGATGATTGGCATTGAAGATCCTGGAACTGAGTAAAAGGAACAAGGAGGACTTTCATATTGTTTGAAATTCTCATGCTTTATTTCTATCATTTTCTTTTAATTTCAGTATTTACACAGTATTTCAATATGGTAAAAGACCACCATGACTGGAATCTATAAAGTCCTATAATTTCTCTTGAGATTCTTTAAATTCCTCAACACTATTAGAAAACATTTGCAATTTAATTATAAGGTGTCTACACTTAAAAACCTCTCATAAGGGGCACCTGGGTGGCTCAGTTGTTTAAGCGTCTGCATTCGGCTCAGGTCATGATCTCATGGTCCTGGGATCGAGCCCCACGTTGGGCTCCCTGCTCAGCAAGGAGTCTGCTTCTCCCCCTCGCTCTGCCACTCTTCCCTGCTTGTGTGTGTGCACGCTCTCTCTCAAATAAAGAAATTAAATCTTTTTTTTTTTAAAGATTTTATTTATTTATTTGAGAGAGAATGAGAGACAGCACGAGAGGGAGGAGGGTGAGAGGGAGAAGTAAACTCCCCGTTGAGCAGGGAGCCCGATGTGGGACTCGACCCCGGGACTCCAGGATCATGACCTGAGCTGAAGGCAGTCGCTTAACCAACTGAGCCACCCAGGCGCCCAAGAAATTAAATCTTTAAAAAAAAAAAACCACTCATGAAAGAATCACTTTCTGTTGTAGCCTGATACAGATTTCCACTTTATTAAAATCATTATATTTATCTTTGTTTTTTAAACAATTATTAAGTTACAGCTTTGTGTAACTTGTCTTTTAACATGTTTCAAAAGGCATTAGGATAAATTAGCTTCAAAGGAAATCATCTATGAGACACCATTTTGGTATCTCTGCCCTAATAAATGATTGGCCTTATAAGAGGCACCTGAATGGTTTTTTTTTTCCCCTTTAAAGTACTTGGGAGGACGTGGAGAAAAGGGGGAACCCTCTTACACTGTTGTTGGGAATGCAAACGGTACAGCCACTCTGGAAAATAGTATGGAGGTTCCTCAAAAATTTAAAAATAGAACTCCCCTATGACCCAGCAATTACACTACTAGGTATTTATCCAAAGGATACAAACATAGTGATTGGAAGGGGCACATGCACCCAATGTTTATAGCAGCAATGTCCACAATAGCCAAACTATGGAAAAAGCCTAAATGTCCATCAACAGATAGATGGATAAAGAAAACATGCTATGCATATACAATGGAATATTACTCAGCCATCAAAAACAATGAACTCTTGCCATTTGCAACGATGTAGATGGAACTAGAGCATTATGCTAAGCGAAATAAGTCAGAGAAAGACAAATACTGTTATGATTTCACTCATATGTGGGATTTTAGAAACAAAACAGATGAACAAAGGGGAAGGGAAGGAAAAATAAAATAGGATGAAAACAGAGAGGGAGGCAAACCATAAGAGACTCTTAATTCTAGGGAACAAACTGCGTGTTGCTGGAGGGGAGTTCGGTGGCGGGATGGGCATTAAGGAGGGCGCTTGATGTAATGAGTACTGGGTGTTAAATACAACTGATGAATCACTAAATTCTACCCCTGAAACTAATAATACAGTATATGTTAACTAAATTGAATTTAAATAAAAAATAAATTTTATTTATTTTTAAAGATTTTATTTATTTGACAGAGAGAGAGCACAAGCAGGGGGAGCGGGATAGGGAGAAGCAGGCTCCCCGCTGAGCAGGGAGCCTGACGTGGGGCTCGATCCTAGGACCCTGTAATCATGACCTGAGCCAAAGGCATATGCTTAACCGACTCAGCCACCCAGGTGCCCAAAAATAAAATTTAGAAAGTGCTTGGGAGGGGCGCCTGGGTGGCTCAGTCGTTAAGCGTCTGTCTGCCTTCGGCTCAGGTCAGGATCCCAGGGTCCTGGGATCGAGCCCCGCATCGGACTCCCTGCTCAGCGGGAAGCCTGCTTCTCCCTTTCCCGCTCCCCCTCCTGCTTGTGTTCCCTCTTTCGCTATCTCTGTCAAATAAATAAAATCTTAAAAAAATAAAAATAGGGCGCCTGGGTGGCTCAGTTGGTTAAGTGACTGCCTTCGGCTCAGGTCATGATCCTGGAGTCCCGGGATCGAGTCCCGCATCGGGCTCCCTGCTCGGCAGGGAGTCTGCTTCTCCCTCTGACCCTCCTCCCTCTCATGCTGTCTCTCATTCTCACTCTCAAATAAATAAAATCTTTAAAAAATAAAATAAAATAAAAATAAAAAAATAAAAGGTGCTTGGGAATCACTGATTTGCTGGAAACTAAAAGTAAACCCATGTAATCATGTGTTATCGGTAGGATTTATCTATTACTCTCAAGTAAAAACCACCTTTCAATGTTATCAGGAAAACTAGAAATATTTTAAGTAAAAGGTGTAGCGCAGTCCCTCCCACATAAATGTTACTTGTCATTTTTATTGTTTCGAAAAGACCCCATGGAACACCCACATGCAAATGAGAAGTATGCTGCCTTAGAAACCCATTCTGGGGCGCCTGGGTGGCTCAGTCGTTAAGCGTCTGCCTTCGGCTCAGGTCATGATCCCAGGGTCCTGGGATCGAGCCCCACATCGGGCTCCCTGCTCAGCAGGAAGCCTGCTTCTCGCTCTCCCACTCCCCCTGCTTGTGTTCCTGCTCTCGCTATCTCTCTCTCTCTCTGTCAAATAAATAAATAAATAAATCTTAAAAAAAAAAAAAAAAGAAAGAAACCCATTCTGGGGGAAAACAGTTTCAGACCTAAATACCAGGGTTATAGAATTTATAAGGAAGATCCATACAGATAAATATACACAAAAAAGGAGAAAAATATATCGTACCTAGTAGAAAAAGAAGTGACAGAAACATCTGCAATTTCTTTCACTGCAGAAATTACTTTGTCCAGGTCTTCGGTGCAGTTAACACTGAATTCTACTCTATGCGTCCCTGCTGTGGGGTAGTTGGGAGCTTTGGAAGGATGTATGGGCCTGGAGGTGCAAACTCCTAGGAAAAAAATGGTGGGTTGTTTTTTTTTTTTTAATTAAAAAGATAAACTGTATGGGCAAAATTTTAAGGAAATGAGTTTTTAAAGATCAATTCTCAGACACTTATGTAACACACACACACATACACACATACCCCTTACATATATACCTAAATCCCCATAATCTAGGGATTTAGTACATATAAAATCAAATTTATTTTCAGAATTATTTTCCAGAAGACTCTTAAATATCACAAAAACTTGACTCATGAATTCTTAGAGGATATACAGAATTGTGACTGCTTCCTAAATTTATTCATGTAAACCATCATTCCGGTTGCAAATGCTCATAATCTACTTGACCACATTAATCCAGATATGTCATCATAAAAGCTTCAGCCCCAATGAGTAAACTAAAATAACTTACTAAAAACAAAACTAAAACACATAGGCTGAAGTCCTTCATTGTACTGGGCTTGAGCAAGCATTCAATAAAACTCTGATGTCTATTTAACTGACACATGAAGTATATTCTGGAGAGGTCTGAGCTCTCGACTCAATTTAACAAGCACTTCTTGAATTTCTGGGTGCTAGGCACTGTGCCACATGAATGAGGACTCACAAAGATCAGTACAGCAATGAAGATTTCCTATGCTCTCCTTACTCATTAAGGATAAAAATTAAGTTTCTCAAATACAATTGCTAGATTTCACAACATTATTTTTAAATACATAAAAATAAAATAACAGTACCCACATCTAAAGCAGTTAAAATTCTGTTGGAAAGACATTCTAAAATTTCAAAGCATTTGTAGGGAAAATATTAAACATGAAAGAATAAGAGCTTCTCACCAAGCCCTTTAGCCAGCCAGCTGTTGACTCCCTGGGGTGCAGCATCATAGGCTGTGTGAGGAGAGTAAATACCGACTCTGTTTTCCAGAGCCCGGATCACCAGGCGTTCCTTCCAGGTTTTCCAGGTAATGTGCTTTAAGGGTCGGAAAATAGGTGGATGGTAGGAGAGAATGAGATCCACCTTCTTTTGCAGCGCCTCCTCCATTACTTCCTCGGTCAAGTCATTGGTAAGGAAGAGTGTGTGTACAGCGTGTGGTGGGCTTGGTTCCACCAGTAATCCAACATTGTCCCAACTCTCAGCAAATGAGAGGGATGCAAAGTCATTCAAGGAGGAAAGGAGCACCTTCAAATCCATGAAGGAACGGGAAAAATTGCAGATCGGGGAATGAACAAGCCGGACTGTTCTGGGAATGAGGCGTACAGGAGAGGACAACATACAGAAATCAGGCAAAACTGAGTGTCTGAAGTCAAAACACAGAAAAAGGGTACACAGATACACGTTAGGCCTGGACCTTGGAGGGAGCAAACCATATGAGTAAAAGAGCTGTAGTCACATATTCCTGGGTTCAAATACTGATTCTGCCACTTACCAGGACACAGTATATTAGATAAGTCATTTAACCTGAGGTTATTTTCTCATTTACAAAATGGGAGACACTATAACCTACATCAGAGGCCATTCACAGGAACAAATCAATTAATATGTGTAAGTCACCTAGCATGAGCCTGGTACATAATACACAAATGTTCATCCCCACCTCCTCGACCTCACACACACCCTGATTCTTGTTCTTCCCATCCTTGCTTCAACCACTCTCCTCCCTTCTCCAGTTCTCTAAATACTACCCTTCCAAGTCTCCTTCAACTTTCTAAAGCTTTTCTCGACAAACCTTTTCAGTGTCTACACCCTATACAAAACTAACACTATCAACTCCATTAAGAATCCAGGAACATTTCTATTTTTGAAGAACAGCATTCATAGTATGCATAATAACTAACAAGATAAGCACAGCCAATCGTAAATTTAATCAAGTATTCGTAACCCAGTAATTTCAAAAACAAGTTTTTCAACAAAAATATTTAACAAATTTGTTGAAAAAAGTATTTTTTCAGCAAAAATATTTACTACTACATGTGTGTACTTATTCAGAATCTGACTGGAAATGCTGCGGAGCCTCCAAAATCCACTGGAGCCTGGGGTCTTGGAAGATCTTCTAAAGGTTCTTATACCACTTTCCCTCTCCGATTCCAAGTACTGATACCGCCCCGCTCTCCAGACTCTTCTAAATCTGGCAGGCGTGAAAGTGAAGCCCTAGTGGGCCACCACAGCTTTGAGTTATTTACTGCTAAATTTGAAAGAGCCCTTGAAAATAACACAGAACACCCTCCATTTCACAGATCAGGAAACTGAGAGGCTGCGTGGCTTCACGCCGCAATTAACAATGGGAGGCGGCACACGTGGTGGTAAACCGACTCTGAAACGAGACGGACTCCCAGAGCCACAGCTGTGTAACAAATTACCTAACCTCTGCTGTCCTCCGAAGAATGAAAATAGTGCCCGCTTACGGTGTGGTCGCAAGATTTAACCGTACAGCTGGGAACAATGCCTACTGTCAGCACTGTTGTTTTTTTTTTTAAGATTTTTATATTTTATTTTATTTTGACAGAGAGAGACCCAGTGAGAGAAGGCGCATAAGCAGGGGGAGTGGAGAGGGAGAAGCAGGCTTCCCGCGAAGTAGGGAGCCCGATGTGGGGCTCAATCCTAGGACCCTGGGACCATGACCTGAGCCGAAGGCAGACGCTTAACGACTGAGCCACCCAGCTGCCCCAGCACTGTTTTTAAACATTAGTATGACCCACTTTACAGCCTGCAAACTGCACCTTGTTACGTTGCTTCATCTACCTCTCATTTCAATCCCACTTCCGACCTTTTCCAGGACAACGAAAAGGCCAAACACGGCAAGAAGCTCCTGAGTCGGCACTTCTTCCCTACTGGCGCCCCACGCTATCACGCCACAAACTAATTTCCTGCCCCTGTCGCCTCCTCCGCCTCCTTTCCCAGAAGCACCCTCACAACTTCCAGGCCGTGCACTAACCCACTTCCGGTCCTGCGCAGGGCCTCCTGGCATTGCAGGATGGGATGGAGAGGAGCCGGGCGGAAGTGGTCCTTGCCATTTTACGTCTGAGCCCAAGGTACTGCTAGAGGTTGCCCGGAATGGTTCCGGTTTACGTTTCGTGTCCTTGTATAATTATTAAAAGAGCTCCTTTCACTGTCAAAAGCGTACCAGGTGAGGACAAATTACATTGTCTTCCTAGTTCTAGTCATTTTGGTTTGAAATAGGAAGGAAGGAGGCGAGCAGGTGAGGGGCGTTCTCTCTAATGGGTCCCGCGCTCGACTTCCGGTAGCCCGAAGACACTAATTTCGAAACGTGTTATGCAAGGGCATCTTTTCTGTTTCAACAACAGCTGTGCTAAGGTGGTAAGTAACATCACTCATTCTTTCATTCACTTATCGAGACTCTTGCTAAGCTCTGTGTTTTAATTCTTGGGCTTCGAGTGAGCATACTGGGCGGGGAGGGTGATATTGGAACAGACTTAATTAGAAAAATATATAGCGTATTATTGATAAGTGCTATAGGAAAAGATAATTGGGCAGGTACTAGAGTGAAGGCAGTTTTAAATAGAGTTATCAGAGACTTGGACGTGAGGAATATAACTGTCCAGACGTCTGAGTCTAAGTGCTCCAGACAAAGAGAGAACACCCAGTGTCTAGACCCCAAGGCGGAAATGTACCTGACTTGGAAGAGTTGCAGGGAGGCTTTTGAAGAAGAGTGAACAGGGAAAGTAGGAGATTGAGGGGCTTGAGTCGGGTAGGTTCTCATCGTTTCCATAACCAGATTTTTATTACTTGGGGATGCTATTCGAGACTCTTTCTTTTAAATATGCAGTAGAAATGAGCATGTGTGAGTTAAGAGAGGAAAATGAACTTAATTTTCTCTTTTGGGAATAGAGACACGTTTTCTAACTTCTGGTAAGACTGAGAAATTAAGCAATAGTACTTTCTGAAACGATCAAGAAGAAAAATGGTAAGTTTTGTACAATTTTTTTTTTAAATTTTATTTGTCAGAGCATGAGCAGCTTGAAATAGAAGAAAAGCAATGAGAATAATGCTGTCTCCCTCTCACCCTACCTCCAACTCACACACTCCTACCCTCTATCAGCCCCACCATACTTTCTGACTGCTAGAAACACCTGGAAGAAGAGAAGTGAGAAAGGAAGCCTCAGAGTAACCCCCCACCCGACAAGGGAATAACAAAAAGAATGCAAGTTACTGGAACATCAGATAAACAAAACGCAAGCAAGGAGTAATATGGTTAGCGCTGCACATTTAGGATCTAGAAACACAGAAGATTGTTGTCTTTAGTGAAGAAAGGAATTGTTTTTAACACTCTCTCTCATAATTAAATTACATAAGGGAACTGGTGGAGACTTTGTTTTGAAAAGTTGTTTTCTTACTATTTTTCAATATATATTAATGATGTTGGTGAGTTGCCATTTAAATCAGTAATATTAACATAACCATTGTTTTCATTTTTATTGATGAAAAATTCATACTTAAAAGAAGTATTTCCATCACAATATTTACTGTTAAATGTTTAGGGTAGACAGCATTTTACATTAACATATTTATCTTCTGGAGTTTTTTCCTACTGTTGAAATAAATTTTGAAGAAGTACAGCTTACTCTCAGCTATGTGGACAGTTCATCTCTGAAATGGTATTTCTTTTTGTGTTTTCATTCATATTCTCATCTTTAATCTAGTTGGGGGAATAATACAGTGCATAAAGTTATGGAGAAATCTCATTTGTTCTTACATTTTTTTCTCCTTTTTAGTCAGTGACACTGCATACAGATGTAGGTGATATTAAAATAGAAGTTTTCTGTGAGAGAACACCCAAAACTTGTGAGGTGAGTACATTACGTACATATAAAAAATGAGTTAATGCCGCACGATAACCATTTTGAAATTAAATTATCTAACCTAAAAAACAATAAACACTTGTATATAAAACCAGTGTCAGGAAAAACTAACCATCATAATTTCTGGTCTAGTTTCCACTTAACTTTTGATGTTAAAGGTGGATCAAAGAAAGGGTAGATAATTTTTCTCTAACCATAGAGTGGTTGGTATCTTTTTCTTTTCACTTATTTTCCTCAGGAAATATAATCATTAGGATATTAGATAAGAGAACTGTTTCTTACATTATTTTAATTATTTAAATTTCAAAGAAGGAAAGAGCTCTCTATATTCATTCAACAATTATTTATGAAAGGCTATCTTGTCAGGGGAATACAGTAATGACCAAGAGACATCCCTTGCCCTCATGGAGCTAACATTCTGAGAAAAGAAGTTGGTGGCGGGTGGGAGGGTCATTCTAGAAAAAAGTGATTCTAGATCATGATAATGCCTTGAAGGAAACAAAGCGTTGAAATAGAGACTAATGGAAAAGAATTATTTTTTTTTTTTTTTAATTTTTTTTTTTTTAAGATTTTATTTATTTGCGAGAGAGAGAATGAGAGACAGCATGAGAGGGAGGAGGGTCAGAGGGAGAAGCAGACTCCCTGCTGAGCAGGGAGCCCGATGCAGGACTCGATCCCGGGACTCCGGGATCATGACCTGAGCCGAAGGCAGTTGCTTAACCAACTGAGCCACCCAGGCGCCCCTGGAAAAGAATTATTTAAAAGAAGTTGAGGGCAGGCCTAGCCAAGAAAGTGATATTTAAACTGAGTGCAGAATGTAATGAAGGCATCTCCATGGAAAGAGAGAAAAAGAATATTCCAGGTGTAAAGATAGAAGTGCAAAGGCCTCAAGATGGGAAAGCCTACCTCTTTTGGATGAATTTTCAGAATGATGATGGGGTTAACATAGTAAGTAAGAGAAGTTATTAACACATGAGATGTAGAGGTATGACTGTATTCTATTCCAAGAACAGAAGGAAGCCATTCAAGTGTTTCAGGCAGAAAAGTGACATTATCCAAAGTAATGCCTAAAAAACATAAATGCATTGTTATGGTGTTTTGAGTAAATACAGTTTGTTCATTACTTTAAATGTGTTTCTGCTACACCATTTCCCAATCATTATTTTTACCCTTTTCAGAATTTTTTGGCTCTTTGTGCCAGTAATTACTACAATGGCTGTATATTTCATAGAAATATCAAGGGTTTCATGGTTCAAACAGGAGATCCGACAGGTAAGTTACTGCATTAATATCTATCTAGAGAATTGGGTATATAGTATGAAAAAGAGGGCAAATAGAAAAATATATAATGTAACATTGTGTGTCAACTATACTCAAATTAAAAATATTTTGCGGGGGAGGTGCCTGGGTGTCTCAGTCAGTTGAGCATCTGACTCTTGATTTCGGCCCAGGTCTTGATCTCAGGGTTGTGAGTTCAAGCCCCTAGACTAGGCTTGGAGCCTACTTAGAAAATACATATATATAAATATATTTTTTTTAAGTAAATAAAATTTATTTAATTTTTATAAAATAAAACCGAAGATATAAGCCCATAGAGTTTTTGTAACCCGGCTACCTTACCATAGCAAGAAATTTTTAAGTAGAAGCTACTGGCATCTATCTTTAAAATAAAATATGACTGGCATGCTTGGGTGGCTCAGTCAGTTGAACATTGGACTCTTGGTTTCGGCTTGGGTCGTGATCTTGGGATTGTGAGATCAAGCCATGCATCAGACTCTGCACTGAGCACAGAGTTTGCTTGGGATTCTCTCTCCCTCTCCCTCTGCCCCTCCTGCTTGTGCACTCTCTCTCTCTCTCCTTAAAATAAATAAATAACATCTTAAAATATGAACAATAATGATAGAGGAGTTGTTTTTTTTATAGAGATACTTTATTTTTCTGGTCTGTAAAGTGAAATTTTGAGAAGAGAGGACATAACAAGTTTTATCTTTATTTATTTTTTTAAAGATTTTATTTATTTATTTGAGAGAGAGAGAATGAGAGAGAGCACATGAGAGGGGGGAGGGTCAGAGGGAGAAGCAGACTCCCTGCCGAGCAGGGAGCCCGATGCGGGACTCGATCCAGGGACTCCAGGATCATGATCTGAGCCGAAGACAATTGCTTAACCAACTGAGCCACCCAGGCGCCCTCTTTATTTTTTTAATTTATTTATTTTTGTGAGAGAGTGCACGTGGGTGCGCAAGCATGAGCGGGAAGAGGGACAGAGAGGAAAGCAGACTCCCTGCTGAGCAGGGAGCCCAATGTGGGACTTGAACCCAGGACCCTGGGATCATGACTAAAGCCAAAGGCAGACACTTAACCGAATGAGCCACCTAGGCACCACACATTTTATTTATATTTAGTTATTTGGGCACCTGGGTGGCTCAGTCGGTTAAGCGTCTGCCTTTGGCTCGGGTCATGATCTCAGGATTCTAGGGTCAAACCCCACGTTGGGCTTCCTGCTCAGTGCAGAGCCTGTTTCTCCCTCTTCCTCTGTCTCTCCCCCAGCTGTGTGCTCTTTCTCTCTCACAAATAAATAAAATCTTTAAAAATAAATAGATAGTTATAAACTAGCCCTTATGTTTTAGAAAATGAACCTTTTCAACTTTAATTAGTTTTTAAATTAGATACTTCTTTTGATTTGTCTGTCTTGTAATATAGGTACCGGAAGAGGAGGTAACAGTATCTGGGGCAAGAAATTTGAGGATGAATATAGTGAATATCTTAAGGTATATCTCTAGTGCTTCAAAATCTATTTTCTCATGCCTTGTTTACACTTGAAAACTTTAATACATACATTGTAGTAACACAAGTTAATGTCATTAGTATACAAACATTATTTTTTTGTAGTCTTAGTACACTTGATAAATGTCAGGGAGAAATTTATAAATATCAATTGCATTTCTTGCCTAAAATATATTCTGGAATGTCACAATCACATGGATCTTGATATTAAGTGAGCTTATCTTTGGGTCCAACCTAAAATGTTTAATCAGTAATGTACCAAAAGGGCTTAATGTCTCACTATAAAATTTATGTTGAATGACATGAATCACCAGCCTTTTTTGAGAGTAGGGAGGAAAACCTATGAGACCTCCTGGTTGCAGTATTGCACATTATCAATATGAACTTTTATTATCTTCTGTTGGATGTTTGAATATTCCTGAATTAATGTCTGTGGTGGATCCCAACTAGGTTAAAGGGAAGTGCATAGCATGGTAAAATTAGAGATTTTTATTTCCTTTCCTGTTTTTTTTTTCTTTTCATATTTTTTCTCAATTTTCCAAACTTTCTAAAGAAGCTTTTCTTTTTAATTTCCTTTAAAAAAAAAAAAAAAAGATTTTATTTTTAAGTAATCTCTACACCCAGCATGGGGCTCAAACTTACAAACCCGAAATCAAGAGTCGCATGCTTCACCAACTGAGCTAGCCAGGTACCCCAAGAACCTTTTTTTTTTTTAATAAGAAACTAATGCATGCCTGTTTTTTTTTTTTTTTTAAAAACTAATTAAATTAAAATTAAAAAATTAAATCAATCAGTTATACTTCCCAGAGAGGACATCTGCTGACAGTTATCATGTGGTCTTTTAAACTTTGTATCTGCATAAAATGATAACTTTAGAAATTAGAAAAAAGAGAGAAATTCTCCTCTATAAGAATATGTAATTTAGTACATCATATTTCAGTCACATTAAAATATATTCTGAAAAAAATCCAGGACAATTCTGAAAAAAATTCCATTGCAGTGTTTATGTCTGGATGGTGAGACTAGGAGTAATTTATTTTTTCTTCTTTTTGTTTTCTTTCATAAGGGAACATTACTTTTGTTATAGGAGTTGAGGTTGGGAGGTGATAAATTGTTTATAAGTCATCCTTTTCCTGAATTAAAAACAAAACAACTTTTTAGGCATTAATTAATAACTGCTTCCATAACACTAATCTGTATACCAGTGGTTTTCAACACTGGTTAATACAGACTCACGTGTGGAAGTTTTAAAAATATGAAATATTTTGGCCTTACACCCCCTAAATAGAAAAAGAATAGGCCCGATTAGGACCTAAATTATACTTCAGGTTTCCTGCGTGATTCCTACAGTTAGGGTTAAGAACCTTTATATACCAGAGTTGAGGGTGTGTTTTGAATATTTACATACTCTGACCCAGCAATTCCATTCCCAAATGTTTACCCTCCAGAAACTCTTGTACATGTGCATCAGGAAACAGTACAAGAGTGTTCCTAGAGTGCTATTTTAATAGCAAAAATCTAAAAACAACCCAAATGTCCACTGATCATAAAATGGAAATTATATTCAGTTGTAGAATATTATCCAGCAGTAAAAATCACAACTACCGCTACACATTCGTGTGTAAATCTTAGAAACATAATGATGGTATAAATAGCATTTCCCAGAAGACTACAGATAGTATGATACTATCTTAGAGAGCTCAGAAACAAAAGAAAAAAATATATTTTTTAAGCATGTATAAAGATAGAATAAGTGGTTCTCTCGGAGAAGTTGAGGTAATAGATGAGTACATAGGCATACGCAACAGTTTGGTAAATTATCTTAGAAATAGGTTAATGAGTATTTTATTAAGTTATAAGTGGTACATACATTCTTGTGTATTATCAAATGTAACATTTGGGAGTCACCTTTTAGGAAGACAATAAAGCATTAATATCTTTTTTCACATTTTTTATTTAAATTCAATTAACATATAATGTATTATTGGTTCCAGAGGTACAGGCCTGTGATTTATCAGTCTTATATAATACCCAGTGCTCATTACATCACATGGCCTTAATGTCCATCAAAGCATTAATATCTTGATATAGCTATATTTCTATTGCTTGTCTCATTAGTGTTTCTTGATGAATAGCTAAAAAGGGAGTGACCATTATTTATTGCAGCACCTCCTTATAACACAGTTCTCATGTCTTCAGTCTTATCAATAAAGTTCTTTTAATTCTTTAAACAGTCCCTGTATAACAAATAGTATCATGAATATTTGAGCTGTAGGAGACCTTCCCTTAGATCATCCAGTCCTGGGTCATGAACTGACTGCCCTTGGGTGGGATCCACAGATGTATTCTCAATGGCCATTGGCTTAAAAAAATTTTTTAGTGCTATTAGGTAAGAGATATACCATTCCTTTTGCCAGACTCCATCACTCCCTAATGTGTACATTCTGTCCAGTTAATTTATTATCTGCTGACCCTTGTGAGCATTTGAATTACGAATAAACCCCTGAACTAGTCCAACCTCCCTCCCTTGTTTTACAGATAAAGAAACTAGCCAGAGTCCAGTGTATGTGTGAAGAGCTTATGGGGATTTTGGTTTTGTTGTCTGCCTGATCGTTTCATGCCAGCATGTTCCTTAATATAAATGTAAGGATGTCTATTAATACCTTGGTATTGCGAAAAATGTTTGTGGCTATACTCCTCCAAAGTGAAAATGAAATTAACTGAGGCATATGATTTGATATATAAACAATTTACATACAAGTTTTTGAAATACAGATAATACAGAAAGTGAACATTCGGGTTAGCCCTAATAGAAGCTGATTAAATGTTTTCTTGGTCCCTTAAAAAGTACAGGTCTTGGGGCACCTGCGTGGCTCAGTCGTTAAGCATCTGCCTTCGGCTCAGGTCGTGATCCCAGGGTCCTGGGATCGAGCCCCGCGTCGGGCTCCCTGCTCCGCAGGAAGCCTGCTTCTCCCTCTCCACTCCCCCTGCTTGTGTTCTCTCTTTCACTGTGTCCCTCTCTGTCAAATAAATAAGTAAAATCTTAAAAAAAAAAAAAAAAGTACAGGTCTTGGCTTGAGTCCTATATTTGGAATATTTATATAAAAACACAGTTAAATATTTTGGCCTTTTACAGCACAATGTTAGAGGTGTTGTATCTATGGCTAATAACGGGCCAAACACCAATGGATCTCAATTCTTCATCACCTATGGCAAGCAGCCACATTTGGACATGAAATACACAGTATTTGGAAAGTGAGTATTTTGGTTACTGTTTCCTTTGGAATTTCATTGCAAGGGATACATATGAGAGGCTATGATAATAGCATAATACTGAAGGAGCAGTATGAAAGCTAAATACACCTGGTAAGTCCACCACTTACCAGCACTGTGACCTTGGGAACTTCTAACCAAGCCTTAATTTCTTTATTTTGTAAAATAGGAGCCAATCTTTTTTTGGTAAGGATTATTACGCAAATTAACAGTAATGTATTTCTTCTTATGAATAGCATTTTGCAGCAACTGACAGATCTGAACAACAGTGGCTTCAAAAAGATGGGCTAAGATGGTGGTTCCCTTCTGTCACCAGTGTTCTTCCTAAACCATCTTTATCTTCCATCCTCATGCCCACCGCATGGTCCTAATATGGGCAGCATAGCTCCAGTCAGAACATGTGTTCCAGGCAGAAAGGAGGAGGGAGGGCAAGAGGTGCTTGCCAGCTGAGTCAGCCCTATTTATGTATGTATGTGGGTAGGTAGGTATGTAGGTATGTATGTATGTAGTAGGCTCCACAAGTCAGCCCCTTTTTAAAGAGCTTTCCTGAAGACCCAGAACTTGGCAATGAGGCCTCCCCTTGTCTACAAGGGAGGGTAGGAAATGTTTTTCAGCTGGACACATTGCTGCTCTCAATAAAATCAGGTTTCTATGAGTAAGAAGGGGAGCCTGGATCCTAGGGAGGTGTTTAGCAGGCTCTGCCAAAATACCCAGTTAGCACTATGCCTGGGAATTGCTTTTATAAATCAGCAAGAAGTCAACTTGTCTGTTCATTTAACAAATATTTACTATGCTCAATAAACCAAGGCACAGTTCTAGAGTTTCTTTGACTTAACAGTGTGGATGCCAAATTAGGTTAATTAAAAATAGAAGACTCAACAACTCTTAGTTTTCATTCCATATATATATTTAATTTATAGATTAATATTCAGTGAAATTAATGAAATATTACAGCCCCTAGTAGTAATTGCCTGGATATAGGTCACTCAGGTTCCCTTCTTTTCATTTTCTCCTTTAACCCACCATTCAGAATTATCGATCATTAATTACTAAGATTTATGTTACTAGTTTTGTGACAGAACTAGAGAGTTAAGAACAAAGATTCTTAACCTTAGGTCCCTTAAGTCCTTGAAATTATGTGTTCTGTGTGTATACACACGTTTTTCTGGGAAGATGGTACATAGCTTTCCATTTGTTTTCAAAGGGCTCTGTGTCCCAAATACTTGACTGACTTGCCTCAATTCTACATGCCCTTTTTTGCCTGAGATCTGTTTCCTATAGCCTCTGTTTCTCTTACTGACCCAGAAGGTGGGAAGGTTTTTGAAACTTTAAATTTAAAGACTTGGTGGGGGGCGCCTGGGTGGCTCAGTCCATAAAGCAACCAACTCTTGATTTTGGCTCAGGTCATGATCTTGGGTTCCTGGGATGGAGCCCAGTCTGCTGGAGATTCTCTCTCCCTCTCCCCCCACTCACATGCTCTTTCACTTCGCTCTCTCTAAAATAAATAAATATATAAATAAAGCAAGCCACCTTTTCTTAGCAAATGTTTTAGACCAACTTGCCTGAAGGATAGCTGTCTATATATATTTTTTTCTTTGTAGTAACATGAAATACACTTGCTGGAAATGGGCTTAAGTGTCCCATCTTCCCTTCTCTTATTATTACTGCTTTTTGTTGTTGCCCAGATGCAAAAAGTAAAAACACATTTAAACAATGAAGTGTAAAGCAGCCACTCACTTCAGGACCTTCAGTATAGGGCAGTACTAAGTAATAAGTGTCACCCATACATACTTTCTCTGGGCTTTCCGATAGCAAAGAAAATCTTAAAACTGGTTATATTGGACCCATTTGTAGCTATGCTGTGGGAGTACTTTGATGGTAATATTCCTACCCATTGCTATGGTCTAAAGGCATAAAAATGAATTTTTGTTTCTGAATTTTGGCTAATATCCATGGTAGAAAATCAATATTTTATTGCACACTTAACTAGGGAATTCAAAGAACTATGAGACATGGTCCTTTTCTCTTAAGGAAACTGTAATTGCTATAGGTATTTGGATACTATGTTTCAATCTAAGGAATTTTTCATACATTTTTATTGTTTCTATTTCAGGGTAATAGATGGTCTGGAGACTCTGGATGAATTGGAGAAGTTACCAGTAAATGAGAAGACCTATCGACCTCTTAATGATGTACACATTAAGGACATAACTATTCATGCCAATCCATTTGCACAATAGCTATAATCTGGAAAAATATTTGGCAGACTATTCAAGGAACACACCTATTGTGCTTTACCCAGTTTTAACTATGTTGAAAGATTACATCATCCTTCTGCCTGTTTATAGCTAAGATCTTCTATGAGTTGGTGTTACCGTGGGGGCCCAAACAGCTTTTATTCCCATTATTAAAGCATATTTTTTACTATAACTGTTATCTAATGTATTTAAGTTTAATTTTTTAAAAACTCTTCTAATTTTTTGTTACATATAAACATTCATTTTTAAATGCTGTCTCAAATCCAGGCATTTTTGAGCACTCTAATTACATATTCCTGCCATATCTAGTCCATATCCTAGAAGTAGTCTTTTCCATTAATTAGTCACTTTGTACAGTTAAGAGTAAGGACAAGATCAAATCCAGGCATTTTTGAGCACTCTAATTACATATTCCTGCCATATCTAGTCCATATCCTAGAAGTAGTCTTTTCCATTAATTAGTCACTTTGTACAGTTAAGAGTAAGGACAAGATAGAGATGATCTAGAAAAGCCAGCCAATCCATTTTGCTGTTTTCTGTAGTCTTTAGATTTACAGTAAAGGCTCAGAGAAGTCCTAGTTTACAGTAAGCACTCAGAATTTCCCAACTCATTTGCCCATGGAACATTTTTGAAAGCTTATCATTTAACAGTATTGCAGGACAGAATACTACAGGTGATCCATTTGGAAAATGCAATTAGTTGGTTAAGAGCACCAGCTGTAGAGTCCTGGACTGTGTTTGAATCACAGCTCTACCTCCTACTAGTAACTTTAGGCAGGTTAACATCTCCCAAGTTTTCTCATCCCTAAAGACTCATCCCCCTCATAAGACTATTAGGAGAATTAAATGAAACAATGTGTGTAAAGCTTCTGACATGTTTAAGTGTTCTGTAGTGAGTAAATGGAAGTAGCTCTCCTAACCTTTCTCTCCATCACAGGGCTCTCACCGAATCAGGCCTCATCATTTATCAGGCGATACCACTGATCTCATCAAGAACCATATTCTTCAACCTGTTTTGATCACCTTGGTTAGATTTTGGGTATTTCTTGGTTTGTATCATTTCTGTAGATAGCTGATCGAAATAATATTTTCTTTCTTAACTACAATTTGGATGTTAGCTCGCAATATCCTCTTATTACCATCTATACCTTCTACTAAACTGATGTGCCAATTATACTAATATCCTCACTTTTTTGTTGTTGTTTTTTGTTTTTTTAATTTATTTGAGAGAGACAGAGATAGTGAGAGAGAGCTCGAGCAGGAAGGAGGGGGAGAAGCAGACACCCTGCAGAGCAGGGAGCCCGATGTGGGGCTCGATCCCAGGACCCTGGGATCATGACCTGAGCCGAAGGCAGAGGCTTAACCATCTGAGCCACCCGGGCACCCCCTCACTTTTGTTTTTTTAAAATGAGCTCTGTGCCCAATGTGGAGCTTGAACTCACAACCCTAAGATCAAGAATTGCATACTCTGCCTACTGAGCCAGCCAGGTACCCCTAATGCCTTCACATTTTGATTCAGCCTTTTAATTTAATCATTTAGATTTCTAGACTTAATATTAAAGCCTCTTTTGGGTAGAATTTGTTTTGACACTTATACCTGATATTTTTCTTTTCCAATTGAATGACACTGAAATTTTTTGTCATTACTCTTAAGAGGCTTTTACTGATTGTCAAGATGTTTTTGTACTGACTGGCATTCCCTCAGTTTTTATTCTAAACTCTGCTTTTGTTTTTTTAAGTGCTACCAATATGGTGGGTTTTTTGGTTTTTAGAGCTCATTCTTATAATGTCTGTTTAGTTAATAAAGATCTCATAAAGAGACTGGCTGCCCACCTTGGGCCTATTGGAGGCATCATGAGGATCAAAATCCTAACACTGTTTTCTGTCCACTCACTGAGTTGACTGGTTCAAACTGATCACATTGGCAGTTGCATGATTGATGTTCTGTTCCATTTATTAATTGGCAGTACATATAAACTACTAAGAAGACTAGAATATTGTTGATCAACCAAATTCTCTTTAAAAAGAGAGTAATATGGCTCCCCATTTGGACCAGAGGTTAGCAAACTACAGCCCTCAGGCTGGCCACCTGTTCTGCAAATAGTCTTCATGGAACTCAACCATGCCCATTTTGTTTATGTGTTTTCTGACTGCTTTGTGCTACAACAGCAGTACTGATTGGTTGTGACAGAGACTAAAGGCCTACAAGCCTAAAATATTTACTATCTTGCCCTTTAAGAAAATTTGCTAATCTTTGATCTAGAATATCAGAAGTTGCCAGAAAATCATGTCATAGCAAAGGGAGCTTGATGAGCTTAAGGGATAATATAATCAATATATGCCTTGATAGTTCCTTCACCACTCTAAAAATGTACCTGCACCTATCCATTAGAATACCTAAATCCTGTTAGATCTTGGTTTGGAGCTCTTTGAAGACAGCTCTTTTTTTTTTTTTTTTTAAGATTTTATTTATTTGACAGCACAAGCAGAGAGGGAGAAGCAGGCTCTCCTCTAAGCAGGGAACCCTATGCGGGGCTCGACCCCAGATCCCTGGGATCATGATCCTAGCCAAAGGCAGGTGCTTAACCCACTGAGCCACCCAGGCGTCCCAAGAGAGCTCTTTGTGTAGGCCTTTGGTTCATGGTGAATTGAACAGTTACAATTTATACTTTGGTTAAACTTGGTATTTCCAAATCCGTTTAGCAACATATAAGCTATGTTGGGTATTTCTAAAGATACGTATTCTCATCTTTTTGTTTGAAAAACTAAAACCAGGGGTGCCTGGGTAGCTCAGTAGGTTATGTGTCTGCCGCCTTCAGCTCAGGTCATGATCCCAGGGTCCTGGGATCGAGCTCTGTGTCGGGCTCCCCGCTCAGTGGGGAGCCTGCTTCTCCCGCTGCCTGCTGCTCCCCCTGCTTTGCTCAAAACTAGTAAGTAATTTATTTTCTTCCAGGCTTGGATATAAAGGTGCATAGAACACTGCTTATTCCATGGGAGTGCACTCTAGGAAGCTAACATATATAAATAGATAAATTTTAATACATAGGACTCAACTTTTAATCAGTTTAGCAAACTGGATAGATTACTATAGTTACTATTTCACTAGTGAATTTAAACAAAAACTGATGGTTCTTTTCAATTCAATTTGTACGAACTATAGAGGTAGGGATGGGAACTCAATATAATCACTAAAGCAAATCTAGAATAAACAATGTGAATTATTTATTTATTTATTTGTTTGTTTGAGACAGAGAGAATGAGAGACAGAGAGCATGAGAGGGAGGAGGGCCAGAGGGAGAAGCAGACTCCCTGCCGAGCAGGGAGCCCCATGTGGGATTCGATCCCGGGACTCCAGGATCATGACCTGAGCCGAAGGTAGTCGCTTAACCAACTGAGCCACCCAGGCGCCCAACAATGTGAATTTTTAAAAAGAAATTACAATGAGCGGCACCTGACTGGCTCAGTTGGTGGAGCATGAAACTCCTCATCTCGGGGTTGTGGGTTCAAGCCCCACATTGGGTGTAAAGACTACTTAAAAAAAATCATGGGTGCCTGGGTGGTTCAGTTGGTTAAGCCTCTGCCTTCGGCTCAGATCAGGATCTTGGGGTACTGGGATAGAGCCCCGCAGAGCCCCACATCGGGCTCTGCTCAGCAGAGAGTCTGTTTCTCCCTCTCTGCTCTCTCAATGTAAATAATCCAAAATCATTAAAAAGAAAATATTTCGTAAATTGTGTTAATATAACCAGTAAGTTATATGGAGAAAAATAGCAAAAGAATTTCACCTCACATGATGTACCAAAACTCCAGATGCCTTAAAAAAAAAAAAGGAAGAAACGTCTCTGAAGAGGAAAGAATTTCTGTTTACAAACATGACAAAGGTAAAGATGGAACAAGTTTAACTACATGAAAACTGAAAACCTTGCAATTAAAAAACTTCAAGGACAAAGGAGAACTGTATATTCAAAAAGCCATGAGGTATGAATGGGCAAGTAATGAGAAAAGGGAAAACGTTCAACTTCACTAATTAGGGAATAAAGTTGCAAGTTTCGTCCAAAATACCATTTTTATTTTTTATTTTTAAAGATTTTATTTATTTATTCATGACAGAGAGAGAGAGAGGCAGAGGGAGAAGCAGGCTCCCAAGGAGCAGGGAGCCCGATGCGGGACTCGATCCCAGGACCCTGGGATCATGACCTGAGCCGAAGGCAGACGCTTAACCATCTGAGCCACCCAGGTGCCCCAAAATACCATTTTTAAATCTTTGCACTATATTAGTTTGTTAGGGTTGCCATAACAAAGTACCAGAAATTGGGTAACTTAAAATTCTCTGTTATACAGACTAGAAGTTAGTAGATCAAGCTGTGGGCAGGGTTGTGTATACTAAGGTCTCACTTTGGCTGGCAGATGACCCTTCTATCTTCACATAATCGTGAGTGCTTGTGTCCTAATCTCTTTAAAAAGATTTTTAAAGTGGGTTTAGGACCCACCCTAATGACCTCATTTTAACCTTAAGGACATCTGTAAAGGCCCTACAAATAAGTCACAATCTGAGGTAGGGGGTTAAGACTTAAACATGAATTGGAGGGACATAGTGCCACCCCCAAACAACCAATAACATGCACTAAAGAACAAACAAAATAATTTCATAAATGAAACTGGGTAAATACCAAGTTAGTAATTAGGTAGGAGGGTTTGCTAAATTTTTTAAAAAATATTTATTTAGTTGACAGCACAAGCAGGGAGAGCAGCAAGCAGAGAGAGAGGGAGAAGCAGGTTCCCTGCTGAGCAAGGAGCCGATGTGGGGCTCAATCCCAGGACCCTGGGATCATGACCTGAGCTGAAGGCAGACGCTTAACTGACTGAGCCACCCCGGGGGCCCCGAGGGTTTGCTAAATTTAAAAACCATTTTGTAAACTAATTTCGGTAGTATATACAAGACTTTTCCAATGTTCATTGTCTTTCACCCTTGTAATCTTACTGTGGGTATTTCTGCTCTCTCTAGTCCTTCACTGCAACTTTTACCTGTAATAGCAGAATATAGTTGATGCCCATCTCCTAGATTGTTAGGATTGAGAACGTATGTACAGTGCTTAGCACAATAACTAGCTCACTATGCTATTGTCCTCCAAAGATGGGGATTCCCTAGGTTTGCTTCACATTTAAAGGTGCTAAATGCAT